GTATCAAGTATCAAGTATCAAGTATCAAGTATCAAGTATCAAGTATCAGTATCAAGTATCAAGTATCAAGTATCAAGTATCAAGTATCAAGTATCAAGTATCAAGTATCAAGTATCAAGTATCAAGTATCAAGTATCAAGTATCAAGTATCAAGTATCAAGTATCAAGTATCAAGTATCAAGTATCAAGTATCAAGTATCAAGTATCAAGTATCAAGTATCAAGTATCAAGTATCAAGTATCAAGTATCAAGTATCAAGTATCAAGTATCAAGTATCAAGTATCAAGTATCAAGTATCAAGTATCAAGTATCAAGTATCAAGTATCAAGTATCAAGTATCAAGTATCAAGTATCAAGTATCAAGTATCAAGTATCAAGTATCAAGTATCAAGTATCAAGTATCAAGTATCAAGTATCAAGTATCAAGTATCAAGTATCAAGTATCAAGTATCAAGTATCAAGTATCAAGTATCAAGTATCAAGTATCAAGTATCAAGTATCAAGTATCAAGTATGAAGTATCAAGTATCAAGTATCAAGTATCAAGTATCAAGTATCAAGTATCAAGTATCAAGTATCAAGTATCAAGTATCAAGTATCAAGCATCAAGTATCAAGTATCAAGTATCAAGTATCAAGTATCAAGTATCAAGTATCAAGTATCAAGTATCAAGTATCAAGTATCAAAGTATCAAGTATCAAGTATTCAAGTTATCAAGCTATCAAGTATCAATATCAAGATCCAAGTTCAAGTATCAGTTCAAGTATTCAAGTATCAAGTATCAAGTATCAGATATTCAAGTATCAAGTATCAAGTATCAAGTATCAAGTATCAAGTATCCAGTATCAAGTATCAAGTATCAAGTATCAAGTATCAAGTATCAAGTATCAAGTATCAAGTATCAAGTATCAAGTATCAAGTATCAAGTATCAAGTATCCAGTATCAAGTATCAAGTATCAAGTTTCAAAGTCATCAAGTATTCAAGTATCAAGTACAAGTATCAAGTATCAAGTATCAAGTATCCAAGTATTCAAGTATCAAGGATCAAGTTATTTCAAGTATCAAGTATCAAGTATCAAGTATCAAGTATCAAGTATCAAAGTATCAAAGATCAAGTATCAAGTATCAAGTATCAAGTATCAAGTATCAAGTATCAAGTATCAAGTATCAAGTATCAAGTATCAAGTATCAAGTATTAAGTATCAAGTATCAAGTATCAAGTATCAAGTATCAAGTATCAAGTATCAAGTATCAAGTATCAAGTATCAAGTATCAAGTATCAAGTATCAAATATCAAGTATCAAGTATCAAGTATCAAGTATCAAGTATCAAGTATCAAGTATCAAGTATCAAGTATCAAGTATCAAGTATCAAGTATCAAGTATCAAGTTTCAAGTATCAAGTATCAAGTATCAAGTATCAAGTATCAAGTATCAAGTATCAAGTATCAAGTATCAAGTATCAAGTATCAAGTATCAAGTATCAAGTGAGGCGAGATGCTTTTAAAAGATTTTAAGAAAAATTTAAAGAAAGTGATTCAAAAAAGTTAGGAGTGATTCAAAAAAGTGCGAGATGCTTTTAAAAGATTTTAAGAAAAATTTAAAGAAAGTGATTCAAAAAAGTTAGGAGTGATTCAAAAAATTGATTCAAAAAATAATTCAAAAAAGTTTTTTGAATTCAAAAAAAAATTCAAAAAAAAAACTTTTTGGTTTTTTTGACTTGTGATGGGATTGTGGGTTTTTGATGGAATTTTCAAAAAAATCATTCAAAAAAACTTTTTTTTTTTTTTTGTGCGGATATTCAAAAAATCATCAAAAAAACTTTTTTTGAATCAAAAATAATTCAAAAAACTTTTTTGAATTCAAAAAAATCATTTACAAAACAAAAAAAAAAAAAAAAAAAAAAAAAACCTTTTTTAATTTCAAAAAATAATTCAAAAAACTTTTTGGAATTCAAAAAATAATTCAAAAAAGCTTTTTGAATTCAAAAAAATATTCAAAAAAAGTTTTTTTTTGGAATTCAAAAAATAATTCAAAAAAAAAGTTTTTTTGAAATATTTCAAAATATAATTCAAAAAAGTTTTTTTTGAATTCAAAAAATAATTCAAAAAAGTTTTTTGAATTTCCAAAATATAATTCAAAAAAGGAATGTTTCAAAAAAACCAAAAAAAATTTTATAAACTTTTTATTGTGTTCAAATAACATTTGGGAAATTTTTATATCAAGTTTAAATATAGATTCTCTTTTTAATTAAAAAATCCGTTTGCTTTTCACAGTGTTAATTTTTTTGCTGGGTGAGGCTATGTCGTGTGATGAATAATGACCGCTGCCAGCAAAGAGCAGTCAGTTAGGGCAGTACAATATTATTTCTATTTCTAGAGATTTTTTTGTATTAGAAAGATCTTCTTTTAAACAGCTGATAACAAAAAATAAATTAACTTGAACGTATATTTTGTTCTCAATTGAAGCTACTACGTAGGTGAAACACCAATTAGGCCCTTTGATTGACTACTAGTAGCTACCTAGACCTCGATGATGATGGGACCGGAATGATGATGATGACAGCGCCCGAATTCGAAGTTGGTGATGGTGAATAGTACTCATCCCTACAACAATAGATTATCCGAAACGTGTAACAGGATTTCATTGTCCTACCCAAGAATGTGGTCTTTGTTCTTGAGAATTGCAGAGTTGACTAGGTTGCTTCGGTCTTCGCAACGGAAAAGTGTCGTCGTTAAGCTAGCGATGGAGGGTAGGTAGGTACTGCTTGAGACCGGCTAAAAAAGTGAAGTCTGATTAAAAAAAAAAAAGAAAAATTCTTTTGATGGGTAAGTATGTATCCCAAAAGAACTGAGAATGAAAATTTGGCCTTGTAGAGTCCATAATTTCAAACAGTTCCAAGAGGTGCCAGACAAAAGTCACAGTCCTCTTGAACTTCTTCCAATTGGTTTCTAGTCCATAACTTTTTGATTGCAGGAAGTCTAATTCGAAAAGTACTTAATTGTTTTGGCATTCTACGCCACCAAAATTAATAAGAAAAAGTGTTTTCCCGAGAAATTTTGGTGTAGTGGATTTTTGGTAAAAAAGGAAGGTTATACACTGCCTTTTTTTGAGCCCCGAAAAAAAATTGTCTCAGATCGACCCGGAAAAACAATTTTCTTATAGAATGTGGCCTGTAGAATCCATAATTTCAAACAGTTCCAAGATTGGGCTACTAGATCAAAATGGCCGGTTTTTCGGAAAATCTAGTATGACGAGTTGCCTATACACCAGGATGCACAATCCTAACTCGCATAATAAAGCTTTTTTACATATTTTTAAAGTTCATATTGAAATTTTGAGGCCATTACCCATACGTATGACATTTCAATAAATTTAAACAGATGTAAATAAGTACTAGAGAGTTTTAATGATACGAAAATATGAAATTAGTATTCATTCTTTCCGCGCGCTAACAAATCAATTGTTGGGAACATGAAGCCATTGTAATTCAATAAACAATGATGAAACGATAATGCAGCAACCAATTATAAATCCTGAAGTGTATGTGTTTTGTAAATCTTTGATCTTGTACTGCCTAAATGTAGCAACACAAAGCAAAATTTCAAAATATATCGTTTCGACATCTAACGTTATTTCTCTGAACTGAATTGTAAATGTTACCAATAAATGCAGGACGCTAACTTATCACCATCATAATGTGACATCATATTCGCATAGATGTCGCTACCGTATGACAGAAACCTGCAACTAACCTACTAGTAATAATATAATCGATTCAGTAAACTAACGTCAGATGTCAGACCGAAGTGTACTTTAAATTTAAAAAAATCAACATGCAATTTTGATACATTTAGACAGTATGTACTTTATTTCTAAGGTATGTATGTACAAGTAACAAATTTACAAAACACATAAACTTCAGCGTTTATAATTGATTGCTGCATTACTTTTCATCATTGTTTATTCACAACAAACGATTAGTTAACGCGCGGAAAGAATGAATACTAAATTCATATTTTTGTTTCATACAACTACTTCGACTACTTATTTACATCATTTTAAATTTAATGAAATGCTGTACGTAAGGATAATAGCTTCAAAATTCTAATATATACTTGCAAAAATAGGTAAAAAGGCTTTAATAGACTCGTTTGGAAAGTACACCCTGGTGTGTAGGCAACTCGTCTAACCCCATGACTGTAAAAGCGGCCATGTATTTAGCCATTTTGTATGTATAGAACCCGACAACTAAAGGCGAAGGATCAGGAGAACATAAACCAAGAAGGATAATTGTACATTTTTGCGAGAGGCCATGAAAATGCCGATAATGTCGTTTCCTATATTGACATTGACTGAGTAGTAAATTAACCTCAAAGGCAGAAACAGTTGTTTACTTTTTTCATCATTAAAGTGAACGTTTTTTTGTGATTCTACCTTCTCCTACTATTTCAAAATATGAAAATGGAACTTCAATTGAAAGTTTCGTTCATGGAATCGACTCTCATGTTCGGTCTGGCTATTGGGTGAAATGGAACTTATTGCTCTGGCTTAGCTGATCCCAATGCAGGGGGGTTTGGGATGGAAAACTAGGTCTTGGCTTTGCTGTTGAAACAGTTACACAGTACTCATATAGACGTTAGCGTAATTAAGACCAATGGCCACTTTCAAAGTACATAACCAGATCGAAAGCCTCGGTAGGTAATTAAACTACAAATTATAATTTCTTTCCCGCTTACTGACACTTTTTAGGGCCACTTTTTGTATTGCAATTGAAGATAAAGTGATTCCAAGATGAGAAGTTCCACAAAAAACTTGAGACAAATACCAACAGAAATATCTTTCGGGTTGTTTTAGAAAAGCAGACCCATTCTGCCAAGAGAGACAAGGGTTAAACTTCCCTACAAATCCGTGGCGGATATTCAGTAATTAGAAGGACATCCTATTTATCACAAGAAGCAAATGCACATTAGTAGATTTTGTAGTATCAATTTGTTAAACGATTTGTGTTTGTTTATCCGCAGTATAAGTTATGCATGCACGAATTCGCTTATGCTTTGTGGAGATGTATTGTTCTTAGATATAAATTTCATGTTTCCAAGAGGTTCGAATTTGGCAAATAAACAGATAATTAAATAATCAATGTTCGTAATGAGTTCTATTTTCAAAAAAGGTTTAAAAATGGCCTGAATTCTTAGTAAATGGTTACCAAGTTTGTTAAGAAATGCTGCACTGAAAAGAATGCATAAAGAGGCCTTTAAGGTTGCCGCATATTTGCCCGTTCCGGCGATGGTTTGCGCTAACGCACACTTATGAGTCTTGACGGAACGGGATAATGTGCGCAGAGATGTTTAATTCAATGTCTTTCATGTTGAATGTTTTTTAACGGGACGGAATGGAACGAACAAGTGTGCGGCAATCTTTATATGGTATACTTGATCTGTCAAAACCATTATATCAGTTCAATTGAAACAACAAATGGTAGTCTATGTGTAGAAGTGTAGATCGTTAACGATTTACTTAATCAAATAGGGTATTGATGAATCGACAGTGGATGGCTCTGTACGATCAAGCCTTTCGTATGAGTGGTAAGTTTTGAGCAATCCTACCGTCGCGATATCCTTTCAGATTGATCGTAATGATGGATCATTCTCTATACGGAGCCTATCATGAAGAATCCATCCAGTCGTAAACACATATCGAGTGCTGGAGACATAAAAGTTAATGAAGTACACAGCAACCAATTTTAAACGCTGAAGGTTATTTGTTTTGTAAATTTGTTACTTGTACATACTGCCGAAATGCCCGAAATGTATCAAAATTATCTACATTCCCTCTGTTTTTTTGTGGTAGTTCCTAAAATGAAAAGAACTTATCCTTCTGACATCTAATGTTAGTTTGCTGAATCGATTACATTCTGACTAGTAGGTTAGCTGCAGTTTTCTGTCATACAGTAGCGACATCTATGCGAATAGGATGTAACATTATGATGGCAATAATTCAGTGCCCTGCATTTAATGGTAACAAGTACAATTCAGTTCAAGGAAATAACGTTAGATGTCGAAAGAAATATTTGTTGAAATTTTGCTTTTTGTTACTGCATTTAGGCAGTACAAGATCAAATATTTACAAAACACATAAACGTCAGCATTTATAATTGGTTGGTGCATTAACGTTTCATCATTGTTTATTCAATTACAATGGTTTCACGTTTCCAACAATTGATTTGTTTGCGCGCGGAACTAATGGCTATTTATTTCATATTTGCCTTTCATAAAACCTCTCTAGTACTTATTTACATCATTCCGTGCATACGGTTAATGATCTCAAAATTCCAATATATACTTTAAAAATGCTATATTAGGAGGGTTTGGATTATGCCCCCTGGTGTATAGGCAACTCATCATACTCGACATACCCGCCATGTTTTTTGCCATTTTGTATATACAGAACATAAACTCTGAAGGCGGACGACCAGGAGAACATGAACTGAAGAAGGATAAATTTTCAATATTAGAGGGTTTATTAATTATTATAATGCCGATAATATCGTTACCTATATTTTGTGGTAAAATTAATCTCAAATAGTTATTTACTTTTTAATTATTAAAATGAATTTTTTTTGTAATTCCTCTTGCTCTTACAAGTTCAAAATTACAATTGAAAGTTTCATTCATGGAATAGGCGCAAGTTCGGTCTGGCTTTTGGGTAAAATGGAACTTATTGCTCTGGTTCAGCCGATCCGAAGACCCTGTGGTTCTTTATGGATGGGAAAGCATGCAAAGGAGAAAAGGGGGTTTGAAATGTAAAGCTAGGTCTGGACATTGCTGTTGAAAGGGTTATGCAGTACTCATATAGACGTTAGCATAATTAAGACTACATTACCAGATCGAAAGCTTTGGTACGTAATTAAAATATAAATTATAATTTCTTTTGCACCTACTGACACTTTTTAGGGTTACTTTCGAAGTGCAATTGATGGTAAACTGAATCCAATACAAAAAGTTCCACAAGAAACTTGAGACAAGTACTAACGGAAAATTCTTTTGGGTAGTTTTGGAAAAGCGGACACATTCTGCCAAGGGAGACAAGAAACTGGTTAAACTGCTTACAAGTCCGTAACAGATATTCAGTGAGCAGAAGGACTTCCCATTCATCACAAGAAGCAAACGAAATTAGTCGAGTTTGTAGTATCAGTTTGTTAAACGATTCCTGTTTGTTTATCTGTAGTATAAGTTACTCATGCATGAATTCGCTTATGCTTTTTTAGAGATGTATTTATTTCGTTATTATTCCAAAAGGTTCGAATTTGGCAAATAAACAGTCTGTGTAATAATTAAGTCATCAATGTTTGTAATGAGTTCTATTTCCAAAAAAGTTTTAAGAATGGCCTCAATTCTTAGTACCTAAATGGTTACCAAGTTTGTTAAGAAATGCTGCACTGAAAAGAACGCATAAAGAGGCCTTTAAGGTTGTCGCATATTTGCCCGTTCCGGCGACGGTTTGCGCAAACGCACACTTATGAGTCTTGACGGAACGGAATAATGTGCACAGAGATGTTTAATTCAATGCCTTTTATGTTGAACGTTTTTTAACGAGACGGAATGGAACAAACAAGTGTGTGGCAATCTTTATATGCCTGCCAAAACCATTATTTCAGTCCAATTGAAACGATAAATGGATAGTGTAAGCGAAGATCGTTAACGATTTATTTAATCAAATAGAACAGTGGATGGCTCTTTACGATCAATGATTCGTTGATGGTCTCAGTCTAACATATAGAATTATTTGAGCTCATTAATGTTCAGTTTCAAACATGGTAACGATCGATCCTTTTGTGTCAGAGTGGTAAGTTTTGAGCAACCTACTGTCACGATATCCTAAGAGATTGATCGTAACGACGGATCATTCCTATGGGGCCTATCATGATGAAGTTGATCCTCCAGAGGTAAACACATACCAAGTGTCGGAGATAAATAAAGTTAATGATGTACTGAAGTTTATGTGTTTTGTAAATCTGTTACTTTTACATCTGTAATTATCTACATTCCCTCTGTTTTTTTATGGTTGTTCCTAAAATTTTAAAAGAACATATCCTTGTGACATCTAATGTTAGTTTGCTGAATCGATTATATTCTGACTAGTAGGTTAGCTGCAGTTTTCTGTCATACAGTAGCGACATCTACACGAATACGAGGCCACATTATGATGGTAATAATTTAGTGCCCTGCATTTAATGGTAACCTGAACAATTCAGTTCAAGGAAATAACGTCAGATGACGAGACAATGTATTTTTTTAAATTTGCCTTAGTTATTACATTTAGACAGTACAAGATAACAAATTTACAAAATACATAATCTTCAACATTTATAATTGGTTGCTGTATTAACATTTCGTCATTGTTTATTCGATTACAATGGTTTCACGTTCGCAACAATTGATTTGTTTACGCGCGGAAGGAATGACTATTAATTTCATATTTGCCTTCCATAAAACCTCTAAAGTACTTATTTACATCATTCCAATCCCGTACGTACGGTTAATGGTCTCAAAATTCCAATATATACTTTAAAAATGTCTAAAAATGCTTTATTAGGAGCGTTAGAATTGTGCCCCCTGGTGTATAGGCAACTCGTCATACTCGACGACTGAAAAACCGGCCATGTTTTTTTGCCATTTTGTATATACAGAACATAAAATCTGAATCCGGACGACCAGGAGAATATGAACTAAAGAAGGAGTTATTTAGCTAATTCAAGTGTTAATTTTAAAAGTCGATAATATCGTTCCCTATATTTTGTGGTAAAATTAACTTCAAATAGTTATTTACTTTCTTCATTATTAAAATGAACGTTTTTTTGTAATTCTTCTTGCTCTTACAAGTTCAAAATAAGAAAATGGAATTTCAATTGAAAGTTTCATTCATGGAATCGTCGCAAGTTCGGTCTGGCTTTTGGGTAAAATGGTACTTATCGCTCTGGTTCGACCGATCCGAAGACCCTGTGGTTCTTGATGGATGGGAAAGCATGCAAAGGAGAAAAGGGGGTTTGAAATGTAAAGCTAGGTCTGGACATTACTGTTGAAAGATATATGCAGTGCTCATATAACACGTTAGCATAATTAAGACTCACTTTACATTACCAGATTGAAAGCTTTGGTACGTAATTAAAATATAAATTATAATTTCTTTTGCACTTACTGACACTTATTAGGGTAACCTTCGAAATGCAATTAATGGTAAACTGAGTCCAATACCAGAAGTTCCACAAGAAACTTGAGACAAGTACTAACAGAAGATTCTTTCGGGTAGCTTTAGAAAAGCGGACACATTCTGCCAAGGGAGACACGAAACTGGTTAAACTGCTTACACATCCATAACAGATATTCAGTGAGCAGAAGGACTTCCCATTCATCACAAGAAGCAAACGAAATTAGTCGAGTTTGTAGTATCAGTTTGTTAAACGATTCCTGTTTGTTTATCTGTAGTATAAGTTACTCATGCATGAATTCGCTTATGCTTTTTTAGAGATGTATTTATTCCGTTATTATTCCAAAAGGTTCGAATTTGGCAAATAAACAGTCTGTGTAATTAAGTCATCAATGTTTGTAATGAGTTCTATTTCCAAAAAAGTTTTAAAAATGGCCTCAATTCTTAGTAATGGTTACCAAGTTTGTTAAGAAATGCTACACTGAAAACAATGAATAAAGAGGCCCTTATATGGTATGACTGATCTGTCAAAGCCATTATTTCTGACCAATTGAAACAACAAATCGATAGTGTACGTGAAGATCGTTAACGATTTACTTAATTAAATAGGATAGTGGATGGCTCTTTACAATAAATGATTCGTTGATGGTCTCAGTCTAACGTATAGAATTATTTGAGCAAGTTAATGTTCAGTTTCAAAGATGGTAACGATCGATCCTTTTGTGTCAGAGTGGTAAGTTTTGAGCAACCTACTGTCACGATATCCTAAGAGATTGATCATAACGACGGATCATTCCTATAGGGCCTATCATGATGAAGTCGATCATCCAGAGGTAAACACATACCAAGTGTCGGAGATAAATAAAGTTAATGGTGTACTGAAGTTTATGTGTTTTGTAAATTTGTTACTTGTACATCTGTAATTATTTACATTCCCTCTGTTTTTTTATGGTTGTTCCTAAAATTTAAAAGAACATATCCTTCTGACATCTAATGTTAGTTTGCTGAATTGATTATATTATTACTGGTAGGTTAGCTGCAGTTTTCTGTCATACAGTAGCGACATCTACACGAATACGAGGCCACATTATGATGGTAATAATTTAGTTCCCCGCATTTAATGGTAACCTTTACAATTCAGTTCAAGGAAATAACGTCAGATGTCGAGACGATGTATTTTTAAAATTTTACTTAGTTATTACATTTAGGCAGTACAAGATAACAAATTTACAAAATACATAATCTTCAACATTTATAATTGGTTGCTGTATTAACATTTCGTCATTGTTTATTCAATTACAATGGTTTTTACGTTCGTAACAACTGATTTGTTTATGCTCGGAAAGAATGACTATTAATTTCATATTTGCCTTTCATAAAACCTCTCTAGTACTTATTTATATCATTTCAATTGCGTACGTAGGGTTAATGGCCTCAAAATTCCAATATATACTTTAAAAATGTATCCCCTTAGGATCGTGCCCCCTGGTGTATAGGCAACTCGTCATACTCGATGACTGAAAACCGGCCATGTTTTTTGCCAGTTTGTATAGAACTAAAAATCGGAAGACGGACGACCAGGGGTGAACATGAACTGAGGAAGGATATATTTTCATTAATCAGGTGTTTATTATTTAGCCGATAATATCGTTGCGGACGTGCTTCATCTGGCTGTTCTAGTGACATGCTAAAAACTCTTTTAAGTATGATTCACACGAAAGTGCCTTTAGATATGGCCTACACGAAGTTAAGGATTGGGGGTATTAAAGAAGCGTCTTTTAAGACATTTTGAGCGACGGACCACCCACAATCTACATTGATTTGAATGTCAAAAAATACGGCTCAATAACACGATCCCCATCATGTTACATCTAAGCACCAATTTGAAACCATTTTATTGTTTAATTATACTATTAGGTACTTAGCACGGCCCGGTCGCACTATAGAAAGTCAATTTAATTTTTTTAAAATAGTAGGCCTCTTTTTCTATTTAAGCTCTTAACAATGACTCAATCGCTCCGTCAAAAAGGTTTTAGCAGGAGATAAATATATTAAAAGTATACACTTCCTCCTCCAAAACTAAGGTTTCCGTGTCCGAACGTATTTGCAAAAAGTAAACCTGGGTGAAAACTCCTCGATACACCACCTAATCTATTGCATTAATTATTATCATAAAGTCAAAACTCACTCTTTTCCCGTGAAGTATCGACATCTCGGGCAGCATCGCGTTGGTAAACGAAGAAATGAATCCATAAACATTCCATCAGGAGCAATGGAAGTTGAAATATTTGTCGCACCCGGATATTCTGTTCCAAAGTGGTGTTGGACAAAGCGGAGCATATTTTCATCTTTTTATCTGCAAGAAGAAAATAGGTGAAAACTTCCCTTACCCACCCTAAATATAAAACGTCATACGCGCGGAGCACATACAACAAATATTATTGGCGATTCATTCGCAAATGATTTACGTTAAGGAATACATAAATTTGTAACTGCGATATAGATAAACAGAAACGCGGTGCACGTTACTTGACCACATGCTTACAAAACCTGAGGGTGACGCACCCGAAACAATTCATGTAGGTACAGTGATTTTCCTTTGTTTTTCTCTACACACTTTATCTTCCCCAGACCAGACCACATTACTACATCCTTACTGTTTAGAATCTTACATACCTAGTATATCATGTATCTCCTCCTTGGAGACATCAAATAAAAGTTCTTCAGAAACAGCTTAATAAAAATACCTCCTGCATAAAAATTTATGGGCAAAAAACCGATTTCTAAAAAAATTAAAAGGCTATCACCTTTGATGTAGCGGTTCCATAAGGGAAATGCTGGTCTGAGATTCTACAGGCAACAATCTATACGAAAAAGTCTTTTTCCGGTCGATTCAACATTTGTCGATTTTCGGTGAAATAGCAAAATTATACTCTAGCCTAGCCTATAAATGCTGTCGAAGAAATGGCTTGTTCTGAAATAAATTTTTTATAGATTTTGTCACGTAGATTACAAAACAGACCAGAATTTTCCAGATACATGAAAAGAAATGTGCAACAAAAGCGATGCCCAAAGAAAGCGGAAAAATTGTTTGAGGCAGGGATCCAATCTTGAATATTCAGGTAGTTCAGGTCAGAATCTATAAGAAAAAGTCATTTTCTGATCGACCTACAATTTGTTGACTTTCAGTGCGAAAAAATTATGTCGTATAGAATCCAAAAGGTTAAGAATTTTCAAGATTGGACGATTACATCAAAAGTGATTGACAAAAGAACCGATTTCCACCTAATAACTTTTTAATTAGAGGTCCAATCATGACAATTTTGATCATTTTCTTCTATCGAAAAATTACTGATCCGAATACGAACGGGAAAAAACTTTTCTTTATAGATTTTGAACTGTCGAATAAAATGTGCAGGTTCGAACGAAAACTTTATCAACTTTGTATCGGTGCTCTGCAAAAGTTACAACCCCTGCAGTCGAGGGCTATGCTTGCAAGTGAGAAATTACTATTAAATTACGTAAGTCTAACACAAGAATGAAAGTTACTTATAGAGGGCAGTTTCGGGGTTGCTTATAGATCATTTAATCATAATCGATCAACGAAACAAAAATATTCGGTGCGCTGCTAAAGTTACAACCCCTGCAGTCGAGGATTGCTATACGAGTAAGTATGGAATTTATAGAAAGTTACCTAAGTTTAAAACGAGAATGAAATTTATTTTTAGAGGGCAGTTTCGGGGTTGCATATATATCATTTAATCATAATCGATTAAAGAAGCTAAAATTTTCGGTCCGCTGCAAAAGTAACAACCCCTCCAAATCAAACATTGCGATACATGTAAGTGTAGATTTACTAAAAATTACATTAAGTTTAAAACGAAAATGAAATTTATCTTTAGAGGGCAGTTCTGGGGTTGCATATATATCATTTAAACATAATCGATCATAGAAACTAAAATTTTTGGTGCGCTGCAAAAGTTACAACCTCTCTAATCAATGATTGCGATGCATGTATGTGCAGATTTACTAAAAATTACGTTAAGTTTATAACGAGAATGAAATTTACTTTTAGAGGGCAGTTTCGGGGTACATATATATCATTTAAACATAATCGATCAACGAAACAAAAATATTCTGTGCGCTGCAAAAGTTACAACCCGTGCAGTCGAGGATTGCTATACGAGTAAGTATAAAATTTATAGAAAGTTACCTAAGTGTTAAATGAGAATGAAATCTATTTTTAGAGGGCAGTTTCGGGGTTGCTTATAGATCAATTAAACATAATCGAACAAAGAAACTAAAATTTTCGGGGCACTGCAAAGCTTACCAACCCCCCTAACCAACACTTGCCATGCATGTACGTGTAGATTTGCTAAAAATTCGAATGTTCAAAACGAGAATGAAATTTATATTTAGAGGGTAGTTTCGGAGTTACTTATAGATCAATTAAACATAATCGATCAAAGAAACTAAAAGTTTCGGTGCGCTGCAAAAGTTACAACCCCCCTAATCAATGATTGCGATGATTGTAAGTGCAGATTTACTAAAAATTACGTTCAGTTTAAAACGAGAATGAAATTTACTTTTAGAGGGCAGTTTCGGGGTTGCATATAGATCAATTAAACATAATCCATCAAAGAAACCAAAATTTTCTCTCTATGACCAAAATATTTATTTAGAAAGCGCAAATTCAAAAATAATATGAAAATAATTTTCTCATAGGTTACTAGGTCAGTCAAACAAGACATGCAATATCGGAAAAAATGAAGCAAATGTGATTTTTTGATATGTTGTTGTCCAAGGACTTGAAGAGGATAAAATTTCCTACAATTTGTTGTAGAAAATGTATTCACCTTTTATTTATGCATAGAGCTGTATAAAGAATGAGAAACTTCTCAAAGTCTGGAGTTTCTCAAACTTTAGTGCCTGATAATTTACATTTTATTTGTAATTTGTAAATTACTCACAAGAAATAGTGACGAAGATCTTGCAGGTCAATACCTCAAACTCCATCTTTTCCGGAAAGTTTCATGTACAAAATGCATGGAACGCGAAGTGAGAACGTGGCTTCACCTGGCTGCTCTAGTAGCGGCTCCAACGAGTGACATGCTAAAATGTCAAACTTTTAGGTACGGTTTCATACAATGACTCACACAAAGGCACTTTTAGGTATTGATTGGACGCTATAAAAACAAGTTAATAAAGAAGAAGCGCCTTTTAATACCATTTAAAGAGTACTTTGAGGAGTGGACCACCTACAACCTACATTGCATACTGAACTTTAAAAAATACGGCTCAATAACACGGTCCCCATCATCTTACCTCTAAGCACAAATTTGAAACCAATTTTATATGTAAATTACTAATTACCGATGAAATTTATTGAGCACGGTTCGATCACACTAGAAAGTTAATTTAATTTTTTTTAAATAAGGTACCTACTGGTCGCCTTTTTTTATTTAAGCTCTAAACAATGACTCAATCACTCCGTCACAGATAGATATTTTAGCAAGAGATGAAAATGTTAACAGCACACGAGAGTATTCTTTGAAGCCAACTGATTACTCTTGTTGCGACGATCTCCATTTCAGTAGTTGCGAAGGCAACTGAATTTTGATGTTGACTTAGCCATGACAGGACCTCCAGCGTACAGGCATACTACGTCAGCAGTAAAGCTTCCTGTGTTTAGATTTCCAGCATCACTGTACCCTTCGATGATTCCATTGTTGTCACTATATATTCTGCCCTGTAGCGTATGCTATCAGGACGTGTTCCGACCATGAGATAGGCTAAACTGCACCTACACTTCCTGCGTAATCATCCTCCTAGGTCCTTCTGTACAGGTTTCGCCACTGGATTACAGTCCATCATGCGAAAGCGCTTCAGAATATTCTTCGTATAGGACCATCATCTACATAGAAACAGTGTAATGAGTACCTATCTTCTTTTTCTCAACAGTCTTTATAAACAGGCAGCAATCAACGTTATTCAGCTTAGTTGCCATTTCAAGACGGATCTCTTGAAAGCAGGAGTTCCAACACCTTGGTGCGCTTGTTTCAATCCAGCTTCTGTGTAATTGACAGACTTTTGAAAATCCATCGCTGAAGCCATTTGGCTACTGCATAAATATATTCTCTGTTAACATACCATTTATAGGTACTAGAACGCTGTGGAAATGTCAAACTTGCCAGATGTAACTTTTACACAATGCTCAAATTGTATTCATTCATGCTACGGCTTGTTCGTAATCAATTTCTTTTCGTTGCCTGAATTCTTTTACCACGAAGTGTGCTTTATACTTTTCAATTGACCCATCAGGATGTCTCGATCTTTGTCTAACCCACTTGGAAGGCAATGCTTTACAATTAGGTGGTAGTTCGCACACGTCGTTTTCTTTAAGTGATTTTAATTCACACGCACCTTCCCAATACTTATGATCTTCGCTCTCCATTGTTTCCTTGTAAGTATTTGGGAAGGAATTTGAGCTTACAAGGCAAGCATACTCGCTATACTTCTTGGGGCGCGAAATCGTTTCTCTGCTTCTCAGCCTAGTCCCTCGGGTCTTCATCATGTTCATCCTCGTGAACCTCGACTTGTTGATCAAGCACTTCGACAACAGGTGAATCCACTTATCGTGATCATGATCGTTGATCTGTCCTCTGAGGTACATTCACCCTGATTTACAATTGGATTCAGTCCCTCTTCTCTGCCATCTACCTCTTTTTCCATTGGTTTTTTAGGCATCCACAAATTCAACTAGTTTCAAAGTGGGCGTCTCTAGATCTGTTCGTCTGCACACCTCTCCAGATCCGATAAACATCGTCATTTTCATATCCAATCAACTTTTTCACTAGCTCCAGCTCTTGTATATACGTTTTATCAGAAGGGTCTTTATGGCGCTGTCCCATTGTTTTCATCTGTATTATTGGGTTGTTTTTGACTTCAGACTTCTTGCGGATGAAATACACCATGCAATATAACTTGAATAGCCATCTTTGAACGCCACACAGAAAAACTAATAGGATCGAAGAGGCCGCACACATCTGTATGTATCAACTCACCGGTGGTAGAGTCCTCTTTCTCTTATCGAAAACCAGCCTTCACAAATTGTATCTTACAGACGCAACTGGATATCCAACTCTCTCTTCATTAGGTCTCTTACGCGTCTTTTGTCCTGATGCGCGAATCGTTCGTGATATATATTCGCAGCATCTTTGAATTTGTTAGGTATTAGGTATCAAATTAACTCCGCTCGTGTTTTGTTTGTTCGGGTGAACTGACTTTATATTCAATTTGTAGAATCTTCCGTATTATAGACTCTATTTCCTACCATTCTTATAGTGCCTTCCACATCTAATTTATGCATTCGTGAGTTGTTGACGTAAAGATGCTGCTTTTTTTATCTTATTTTGGGCCACCAGTTTTGAAAAGATGTTCACCGTTAATGATGGTACTAGCCATACATCACTTTGATTGATATGCTCCTTCTTGCCATTGACATTCGACTCCACAATGATCGTACCTTTCCTTTCTGTCTTGGAACAAGTGACTATGTGATAGCAATGTGCATCGCTGCTCCACTGTCGACGTACCAATTTTTCCTTGTCCTTTTTAGACTCATTAGAGCAAACTTTTACCATCAACGTAGGGAATATTTTGAACTTGATTCGATGGTGCATTCGCTCCTGAACTAATTGGTTTAGGTGGTTTCCCAATCCATTTCTTGTGGTGTCGTACTCTTCGTCCTATCCTAATAGTGGCATTTAAGGTTCTCTCTCGCCTTCTTTGGTTTTGGCGTAACTTCGTTTGTGACTAGGGCTTCTTGACTAATCTCAGCATCTTTATCTCAAAGTGCCCTCGCATATGCACAAAGATCACTCCTTAGATTGTCTATGGTTCTGTCTTTCCAATTCAACGGCATCCAATTTGATTAGAACAATCTAGGATTTTGCAGCTAAGTTAGTTTTGTGTTTTTTCGTGATCTTTTAAGTTTTGACATGAAAAAGTCGAAACGTACCATTTTCCTTATCATGTTAAAATCCGAAAACCTCCATGCAAAAATTATATGATGCCCCGTCTTCAGACTGCCCCTCGAATAATCTGTGTAATTCCTGCCAAACTTAATTCATATGCTGTCTCAAATCTCATTATCTTTTTTAATGTCTCTTCTGTCATGTTCGTTATAATAATTAGCTTCTTGTACTTGGCTAATTGCAAAGTATAGTCGCTGACGATATTCAATCGGTTTTTTCAGCTTACCTTCGACTACGTCCATGGCATCTTCTGTACCACGTAGCATTATAGAAATCTTATATTTCCAAGTAGCCCAGTTTGTCTTTCCTTCTAAATTTCCCATTTGAAGTTTTGTCGAAGATACTTCCATCTTGAACGTTACGAATCTACGTTACTTAAGTAACTCTTTATCTTTTTAACTGTTAGTAATGAGTTGTATTTTCACAAACGGTTTAAGAATGGATTCCAAATTTGTTGAGAAATGCGTGTTTTTTTATTTATTGAGAAATTATGTTCAATGAGCAACTAGTTTGATTGATGTGGTTAAGTGGTTCCCTAAAGTAAAACCATTTGTATTTATAAATACAATGGTAAAACTATAATCCAGAAAAATGTCCTGCTGATGCACCTTGTAGACAAATCTTGACAAATTCATATGAAAATGGAATTGAATTCAAAAATAATTCATTTGAAATTACGAGTATAAGTATGTACTCACATAACCGAATTCCGTTCACAATTAAAATATTAGTACTAATTGATTTGTGATTAAACAGTTGACTACCTAAAAGCTTTCTTTCATCTCTTCTCTGTTATCGCGTGCATTTTTGCAAATTACGTACAATCTCGCGCTCTTTCTACATGGTATTGCTAGGAGTTTCGTTTATCGTTTTCATAAGGAGTAGAAAATAATAGTACACACTGTTGGCATGAAGGATACTGTAACTACTAAAAAACTCTGCAATAGAGGTTCTTTTTTATGGAAAACTAAAGAAGCTTCCTAGACACGAGCTTTTTTTATAGCTGAAAAATAGTTGGCAAGTGATGACTCTATTTGTAAGAGCTCCATCCAGCTCTGATTTGATTTTTTGATTTTGGCAATGTTTGATTTTACACACTTCGACAGTACTTGTACAGAGTAGGTAGATACGAAAATACGCCTGGACACGCTTTCGCTTTCAAGGATGTGTGTGGATGTGACTTTCATACTAAGCACCTTACATTGAAAGAAAAGTCCAGCGATACTATGCTTCTATACAGGGTATCGCAAGAAGGAACGTAGGTTACCAATATTGTAATTTGTAAGGTACTCACAGGAAATAGTGGCGAAGATCTTGCAGACCAATATGGCCGTATCTCCGACTCCATCTTTTCCGGAAAGCTTCATCCACAAAATGCACGGAACGCGTAATGAGGACGTGCTTCATCTGGTTGCTCTAGCAGTGGCCTCCAAACGAGTGACATGCTGAAAAATTTTAGGTATAATTACTCACACAAAAATGCCTTTAGATATGGCCTACCTACACAATATTAAAAGTTATGGATTGGGCATATTAAAGAAGCGCCTTTTAAGACATTTTGAGCGAAATACAGAATTTGGAACCATTTTATTGTTTAATTACTATTAGGTACTCAGCACGGCCCGGTCGCACTAGAAAGTCAATTTTTTTAAAAATAAGGTAGGTAGTCGTTTCCTTTTTCTATTTAAGCTCTTATAACAATAACTTAATCACTTCGTCATAGAGGTTTTACCACTAGATAAAAATGTTAAAAGTACACTTCCTCCTCCAAAACTATAAGGTTTACGTGTCTGAGCGTATTTGCAAAAAGTAAACCTGGGTGAAACCTTCTGGACGTACCACCTAATCTATGCCATTGCATTAATTATTATCATCAAATCAAAACCCACTCTTTTCTCGTGAAGTACATCTCGGAGTCTCGGACAGGATCACGTTGGTAATCGAAGAATTCAATTCATACAAATTCCATTATAAGCAATGAAAGTGGAAATATTTAACGCACCTGGGTATTCTGTTCCAAAGTTGTATTGGACAAACTTCCTACCTCCACCATTCTCTTCCAAAATTATGGTTTAAGTATCGGAGCATTATTGTTATTAATTTATTTGTCCAAGAAGAAAATAGGTGAAAATTTGTCGATGTGCCATCCATGTTGAATATAAAACGTCATACGCGCGGAGCACATATACAACCGGTATAATGGCGATTCATTCGCAAATGATTTACGTTGAGGAATAAATACAATTGTAACTGCGCTACAGATAACAGAAACAGATGCATGTTACATGACCACATGCCTACATAATCCTTATATATAGAGGATGGCCTGAAACAATTGGCTCCTAATAATTGAGCAACAGAAAAACCACCTTTACAGTGATTTAAATTTATGGGCAAAAAAAAACGATTTCTTAAAAAAAGTAAAAGGCCATAACCTTTGCTCTAGTGGTCCAATCTTGAAAAGGGTGGTTTTAGATTCTACGTACAGGTCACAATCTCCACGAGAGTCAAAATTTTCGATGAAATACCAAAACTATAATCTAGCCTACCCTATAAAATTGGTCGAAAAAATGGCTTGTCCGAAATGAATCTTTTATAGATTTTGCCCTTTAGACTCCAAAACATCCAGAATTTTCAAGATCAGACAACTACATAAAAGGTTATGTAGCAAAAAACCGGTGTCGTTTTGGATTCTACAGGTCAAAATCTATAAGAAATTCATTCATTCATATTCTGATCGACCTAACATTTGTCGATTTTCAACGAAATAGCAAGGGTAATTTTGTCGAAAAATGTTCAGTTCAACATCATCGGCGAAAAAACTTTCCAAAACGTCAAGAATTTTCAAGATTGGGCAATTACATTAAAAGTGAGTGACGAAAGAAACGATTTCCACCTAGAAACTTTTTATTTAGTGGTCCAGTCTTGAAAATTTTGACAACTTCTTCTATCGAAAAATTACTGGTACGAATACCAACGGGAAAAATCTGTTCTTTTTAGATTTGACCTTTCTAATAAAATCTGAAGGTTAAAACGAAAATTTTATAAACTTTGTATAGGCCCTTGGTTTAAAAAAATCTCAATTTTATTTAGGTATGTTAATTTTAATCGGTGTTCAATTAATTTTATTGATGTCTCGTGGTTTTTATAGACATACGGCTAGCTCAATAACTTTCCTACGTGACCCAAAAGATTAAATTACAATTAAATGCAATTGTCAACATTTTTTGTTAACCACATATACCAAAAATACACACCCCTATTTCAAATAGTTAAAAAAAACTATGGGGCAATTTAGCAATAAAACAAAAAAATTATAAAATCTATGCAATATATCAGGGATCGGAGAGTGTTCCAAAAAAAAATAAAAAACGCACTATTAAACATAACAATCAGATTTGCTTCATTTTTTCCGATGTTTGCCTTTCAGTCTTACCTACTTGACTGGCCTATAGTACGTTTCATTGGTATGGAAAGAAGTAGTAGTAAAAGTTGGAAATTACATTCAGCATTCTTTTGATATAATTTTACGATATAAGAAATTCCATGCTGCATAAGATTGTTGTTAAAAGTTTCTATTTTTTGAAATCGGTTTTATTGTTTTTTTTAATATAGCTTCCAATTACACCCGACTTTAAATTTTCTGGAATTTTCATATTAATGCAAAATACATTGTCCGTTTGACAAAATTTCCACCTTGGATACCTAATATTAAAGTTGAAAAACTTGAAGTATTAAATTATATGCATTCGTTGGAATAACTGTAGCGCATTTTTCTCTTCTAAATTTTCTGGTGACTGGTGCATTCCGAGAACTTGTCCAAAGTAGTAGGTACTAGATAATCGTGGTGCAATTACTTTGAAAAAGAACTCAAAGCTTTCTTTCAGATTAATTGCAACTCTTCTGTTATCGCAAGCATTTTTGCAATTGTAAACCCTTTTTAGTATGTAATTGCGCGCTCTTTCTACATGATATTGCAAGGAACTTCGTTTATCGTTTTCAAGTAGCATGAAGAATGCTGAAACTATACTAAAAAAAAAGCTCTAGAATAGAGGTTCTTTTTTAATGGAAAATTAAAGAAGTTTTTTATAGCTGAAAAATAATTCGTAAGCGATTACTATTTGTAAGAGCTCGATCCAGCTCTGATTTCAACGAAGTGGATATAGATTAGAATAGAAACGAAAAAAGTTTAAAAATTTCACACATTGTCTTGTTTTTGTAAATCTTTGGTTTTACACCCTTCGCCACTATTCTGTTATAATTATACTGGGTACCAAAGACGCTTTTGATTGCAAAGACGTGTTATTGTCTTATGTCATTTCTGGTACTACGGGTAGAACGGGATGACTTCATCCTTATTTCTTAGCACTTTACATTGAAACGAAAGTTCAGTGATACTATGTTTTTATAAAAGGCAAAAACCAGACCGCAGAGAATAAATATGTTGAAAGTAAGAAAATGTTTCTCATTAGGCAAGGATGAGAGTATGTTGCCAATATTATAATTTGTAAGGTACTCACAAGAAATAGTGACGAAGATCTTGCAGGCCAATATTACCATTCTCCAACACAAAATGCATTGAACGCGTGGCGAGGACGTGGCTTCACCTGGCTGCTCTAGTAGCGGCGTCCAACGAGTGACATGCTAAAATGTTAAACTGTTAGGTATGCTTTCACTCATTGACTCACACAAAAGTGCTTTTAGATATTGATTGGACGGTATGAAAACAAGTTAATTTAAGGAGCACTTTGAGGGTTGGACCACCCACAACCTACATTGCATACTGAACTTTAAAAAATACGGCTCTATAACACGATCCCCATCTTACCCCTAAGCCCAAATTTGAAACCATTTTATTGTTTAATTACTATTAGGTATTCGATGAAATTTATTGAGCACGGTCCGAAAGTTAATTTTTGTTTTTAATAATGACAATGACGCAATCACTTCGTCACAGAGATTTTAGCAGGAGATGAAAATGTTAAAAGTACACTTCCTCCTCCAAAACTAAGGTTTACGTGTCTGAGCGTATTTGCAAAAACTAAACCTGGGAGAAACCTTCTCGATGCGCCACCTAATCTATGGCATTACATTAATTAGGTATTATCATAAAGTCAAAACTCACTCTTTTCCCGTGAAGTACATCTCGGACTACATCGCGTTGGTAATCGACGAATTGAATCCATAAAAATTCCATCAGAAGCAATGGAAGTGGAAACATTTGAAGCACCCAGGTATTCCGTTCCAAAGTGGTGTTGGACAACCCCCTCTTCCGCCATTCTCTTCCAAAATCATAGTTTACGTATAGGAGCAGTTTGTCATTAATTTATTTGCAAGAAGAGAATAGGTGAAAACTTCTCGATGTGCCATCCACGTTGGACATTTTGACGTCATACGTGCGGAGCACACACACACACAACCGCTATTATTGGCGATTCATTCGCAAATGATTTACATTGAGGACTAAATAAAATCGTAACTGCGATTTAGATAAAACAGAAACAGATGCATGTTAGTTGACCACATGCCTGCGTAATACTTATGTAAAGAGTGACGCACCTGAAACAATTCGCTCCTAATAATTCGGCAACTGAAAGAAATATACAGTGATTTTGATTTGTTTTTGGGCAGAAAAACCGCTGTCTAAAAAAGTAAACGGCTACAACCTTTGATGTAGTGGTTCCATCTGGAAAAAGATGGTTTTGGATTCTACAGGTAACAATCTATACGAAAAAGTCATTTTCCAGTCGATTCAAAATTTGTCGATTTTCGGTTCAAAGGGCTGTAACTTTTGATGTAGAAGCCCAATCTGTTAGCAGTTATGGATTCTACATGCCAAAATCTATAAGAAAATGTTTTTTCTCTTCTATCGAAAAATTACTGGTCCGAACATCTGCAGGCTCGAACGAAAATTTTAGAAACTTTGTAACGAGCTCTTCGTTTCAAAGAAACTGAATTTTATTTATGTTAATTTTAATCGGCGTTCAATTAATTGTATTGATGTCTATTGATGTTTATATTTCATTATGAAGCTGTACCACCTGTTACTAATGAATGATACAGAAGGTAATTTAATCCCTATATACAGTACAGTATTGAATGTCTGTAATTTTCTGAAAAATCACTGAAATAGCACAAGATTAATCATCGCCTTTGCAAAATAGTGAGGATTGAGAAAAACTCTAGAAAACAATTGAATCTAAATTTTAAAAATAAACACATTTTTGTTATACCAGATATTATTTTTTATAAGCATTGTGCGATAATAGTAATTAACAAAGGTAATGTTTATTTATAGAAAAAGAATGACGGACTGCATGGTCTAATGGCGTGTGAACTAAACTACAAACTCGATTCTTAGTCTTTTGCGCTAAACTAATGAAATTGGGCACCTGGTTTATCTGCGACTAAAGACATACCCCTTTTACCTTGAAGTATTTTTGATGGCAACGAAAGAGCGATTAAAATTTCAAATGTTGGCGCAACAAAATGTTAAAATATAGTTTGGTATTAGAAATATATAGTTTACAAATACAGTTATATGAACATTTCTAACGATAGCATGTTACTATATCCTGTATAAAATTATTAACTCAAAAAGTTTAGGCAAATGCAAGATATACAATAGAAGTATGTAAAAGAGATAGAAATATCGCAAAGGTGATCACTGGTGCAAATCTCGCTACACCTACATTTATGGATGGATCTGGAAAACAAAAAAAAATGCTTAGATTTCTAACAGATTTCATACATAATGCAACGTATCGATTGAAAATTTAGCTTTACCAATAACAGAATTCCATCTCAAGAAAATGTTTGTTTTTAATATTTCGTTAGTGTGAATACCTATACTAGAAAAATAACTCACCGATCTTGTTCATCCCCAGGCACATTTCTGGTAATATAAATTCTTCAGACGCACCCTTGATCAAAACTGCAAAAAATACATATTTTGCATTCATTGTGGTTGAAATACTTCGCCAAAGGTAAACAGAGAAGCACAATCAACACGTTAGATTAAAGTGTCGTTGATCTAATTTCAATAACTGAGAACAACGAATATTTCTGGGTACAAAATTACGCGTATTGATTGTATTTCTATTGTCGAAAGAAGTTGTAAATAACACTCACCGGTTTGGTTGTTTCCTAATGTGTTCAATTTTGGAGCAACCGATTCTGCAAGAAATTATTATTGAAATTAGTCCTATAGATATTGCAAACTGATCGTCAATCATCAAAAATGCGTCTTTATAGCAAATGTAGGTACTTAATTTTGTGAATAGGCTATGGGACTAGAGCTACCTACATCTATTTAGAAATACACACCGGTTGAGTTCTCCTCCACGATTTCAGAAAACAACTTTACAAATGCACCCTTGTTTGAAACTTAATCATTTAGAAACGGAAGTACTATACACCCTTTCGACTTTGCTTATTTTATACCCAGAAACTGCACGCGGGTATTATCAGCGTAACTCACCCAAGTGAATCAGGAACGAATTTGATTTAACCCACCAAATTAAGGGTGCATGTCTCTACGTGATAACCTTATGAAGTCTTGCTAAATTTTAGAATCATGATGTCTAATACAAAATGAACAAATTTAATGACCTATGAAGTTGATGCTATAAAAACGTACTCACCTGTCATGTTATCCACATTATCAAGTTCTTCAGCTTCACTCTCTATGAAATCTGCAAACAAATCACACGCATTTTTATTACAGAAGTCATAGCAAGCCGAGTGTGTATCACTCATGAACAATTTCGTCATGCTAATTATTTAACTTTTAAAAAATACTTGATGTAGAGATTAAGGGTGTAAAAAACATAAAGTATAGGGATCATTTTTTACCAAATAAATCAAGGACACTTCCCGAAATCTCTACAAAATTGCGCAGCTCTCTAATTTTTCATGCAATCTTAACCAAGATGAAACTAACTGCTCTACTACTTTTTTCGCGACAACTCTTTTTAAATGTTTGAAATAAATATTGATATCCAAAGGCGATGAGAGGATGCGAAAATTTGTTTTCAGATTTTAAAATTTTGAAAGAAAAATTTCAACTGTAACCTCTTGTTACTGCTACCATTGTATTTATATTCGTTTATAAATACAATCCTGCTACTAAAAATCGTAAATTTGGAAAGTACATCGCTATGATGAAGGCGGTCCTTTACACCGATCAGAGCTCGTAAACTCCAAATGAACATTTTTGTGTATAAAATTAGGATTACACGTATTGATTGTGTTTCCCCTGTGATGATAAATTGTAAATAGGTAACACTCACCGGTTTGGTTGTTTTCCAGTTTGCCCATTTTTGGAGAAAGAGATTCTGCAAGAAATTATAACATGTCACATTATTGAAATTACTACTATAGATAGGTATAGCAAACTGGTGGTCAATCACCAAAAAGATTTTTTTACAGTAAATGTACTTAATTTTGAGAATAGGACAAAATACACACCGGTTGAATTCACCTCCACTTTACCAACGGTTTCAGGAAACGATTCTACAAATGCACCCTCGCCTGTAACTGAAAACAATTATTTGCTTAGCCCTTTCGCCCTTTCAATTTATTTTATACTGCGTAGGTATTATCAGCATAACCCTTCCGGGTGAATCAGTGAATTTTCGAAAACAAACGTAACAAAATAATGTTAAATTTTAACACCACCCACGTAAAGAACAAAATATTGAACTATAAAAATTGTACTCACCGGTCATGTTCTCCACATTATCAAGTTCTGCTGAAAGATCTGCAAACAAATTACACACATTTTTAGGGTATAAAAAAACGTAAATAGTAGACGGGACCAAAGCAAACGTTTTTCCAATTAAGGGTACAAAATTTTTCATCGGTAATCTTAACAAAGAGTAAATAAACGGCTGTACTTTTGGGGATGCCACTTTTAAAAGTTGAAAAAAAATTCCAAAATTGATACCCCAAGACACAAAAGGGAAAGAATGTTCTTAAATTTAAAATATCGTAAAGTTTAAAATTAGTCCGACGCGTATAAGTACAACAACAATATAATTTTCGTGTTTAAATTATTTCGTTCACTATATATTTTCGAACAAGGTATGATTATTTCTTGTCCACAAAACAGCTATTGAAAAAAAGTGTTCAACCAACCGCGTGCGGCAGTCCAGAACATGACATCAATATCAAAAGCACCAAACCAGAATTTAGACCTCTACAATTCACAAAAGAACACTTCGATGCTCGGACCAGATGGCACTCCATAAATTTTTTTCAAACATGTTGGAGAAACATGTATTAATCACATCTTGAAAATTTACAGTGCCATCTGGACTGCTTCCCAAAACAATGGCAACATGCAAACATAATTCTGATTTTAAAGACGGGGAAAGACCCACACTACACCAGCCATTAATGAAGAAATCTACATATTGGAGCGTAAAAAACCGTTTATAATAATGCATACTGAAGGTCTAGTTTTTACTATAAAGTTTGGTTGGCAATAAGTACCTATATATGCATTTTTTATTGTTTAAATAATGTTTACGAGCCAGTGCTTTAACAAGGTAAGAACCATTATTGTTTATTATACTACTATTTGGGACAAAACAAAAAGATAAGCGTATACCATTTGGGCCAAAGATATAAATTTTGTAATTGAATACTTTAAAAACTATATAGGCAAGAGCTTTCACTCTAAAACCTTAAATAGTTGACCTGGTGCAATCAATATCGTGCATCACCATACCAAGGTAGTGCTCGGAAAAATATTTATGAACATTAAATTTGATCAATTGAACCGATAGTTCAAAAACTAACGAGTTTTATAAAAAAAAGATGCTTACCAGTTCCATCTTCATAGTACATTTCTGGAACAACTGCCAATGCACTCCCCGCTACAATCATAACTGCAGAAAAAACATTACCTTCAAGTTACATATCACAGGAATTAATTTGATCACTTACAATTGACAATCACTTTGCCGAAAATCATTTTTAATTTTCGCGTAGAAGACAGTACAATGGAACTCTAGAGCTTTTTTCTTTATGGTAATGTGCCTAAAATAGAGGGGGTAAAATAGTGCCTTGTTTATTTTATCAGTGAGTAGTAATTGCCGACCATTCTTATACGATTTTACGTCAGCACCCCCTTCTCTAGTATTTTTGGATTAGTAACCATGTAATTTACGAAGAATCAAAATCACCTCTGGAATTTACAAAATAAAGAAGTATTAGTCAAAGGTAACTTGCTTATTTTGCCAACAATATCAATCAAGATTTCCTAGGAAACCTCGATATGCAGCAGATTTCCGGACCAATTAATCTATTTGGTCCTGAATGTTTTTCCTAGAATAAACGCCTTTTATTAATCAAAGAACTCGTAAGTATTAACAGTGTAATAATCGATAATACACATAGCCGTATGTGTAATCGAAGGCATTTGTTTATTACAATTCTGTCGACAACAATACAATGACTGGCTTTTTCAATACTTAGGTAGGTACGTGTCAGCTGTGAGTAATATCTGACTGGGTAACCACACTATATGAAACTTTATTAAATTCAATAAACAATTTCGTTATAATAAGGAGATGGTATAAGATTGAAAGATGACAAATATTGAAGTTTGTGTCAATTGTTTTCAATGAATGTGAGCGAGCATCCAATATCCTAAAAGTAAAATCCGCAAATTCTGGTTTGGCTCATGTGGTATGACTTACCATATTATTGTTCCATATGAAGTCGAAGAGTAATAATTATTGTGAGATATATTAAATAGATGATCTTCATGACATGCGTTAAATGTACGTACTTTTCCTCGTCGGCTGTAATGAGAGAGAAATAGCAATTACCTACCAATAAGTGCGACTTTTTCGTTCGCCGGTTCCCGAAGTTTTTAAATGACGCTTATAACCTAATATCGAACACGTAGTTTTGAAATTAGATAGGTACCTACTTTTTTCTTTATGTTTTTGGAAATGAAAGTTCTCCCCTTCTTCACAATATGCATGAACCACCAGAGTTACCAATGTCACCAAGGCTACGATGATTTAAAGCTAGTATAGGTAAGTAAAGGAAGGGACTTGCAAATTGCACTTTGTCAATTTTTACAAATTTTTGGGAGAACGACGAGTTATCACGTGTCGAATTTTGATGGGTATAAGTAATATGTGAAAACGCAGCTGAAAAACGTCAGTAAACGTAAATGACAATATGTAATCTGCAAGTCAGTCCCTAGTTTTTGTAGCACTCACCGGTCATCTTCAATGCACCATCCATTCTCTGTATATGAAATGCAGTGATAGGTACACTGTGAGCACATTCATTAGGTAAGGATGCAAAAACAATTAGCAGCACTGGTGAGAGTGGGGGTTACCGATTTATCATGGGGTAAATTTATAGAACAGAATGCCCTTTCCACTAAAATAATTTGCGATTGTGTTTGCACCATCCTTCGGCAAAATCAGTTTTGTACTTTGGTCCAATTTGAAAAATCTTATTTTTTGATAGCCAACAGGTTGAGCAATTCCTAGCGGCCTATTATGACAATATGTAATGAGAACAACGACTAGCATACAAAGGTTTATTAAAACTGATAAGGTCCCAAAGTATTAAGTTGTCCTAAAAAATTTCGCACGGATATTCATTTAGAAATCAAAGGTGTTATTCATAAGCAGATGGTCGATAAAAACTAATCACTGTTGATATACAAATATGCACCTCCGGTTGTGTTTTATCTTTTGGTTCAATTGAATAGAGTGGTACAACTTATCGCTTTATTTATTCGAAGAGGTTAAATATGACTTGCGGGAGTATTTATGGAATGCGAATCATTCGTATCTATTGTCGAAAGTTTTACCTAATTCGCTCATGATATTTGGAACCCAGTTCAAAAAAGTCCATGAAATGTACTTTTTGCAACTAGCAACATTTCTAAAAAGGTCCTAATGAATAATATATCCATTACAAGAATTTCAGTAATTTCCATCCCCAATGACGCATCCCCTCCCCCTGAATTTTGCCATTCATTTTTACGGAAGTGTGCGACCCAAAAATATATTTATTTTAAAGTTTTGACTTCATGAGGATTAGGCGCTGGTATACTATATTATGAATATTGAACATCTGTTTCCACCCTAAGAAAAAGAAGCAAAGTCGCACTTTCGCTACTTCTTTGCGCGGAAGATTCGTAGCCATTGTATTCGTATAATACCGGGCGTATTTCTGGTAGTGTTTGTCCCTTTTCTAGTCCATAACTTTTGATTGAGACGTCCGATCGAAAAAGTACGAATTGTTTTGGATTCTACGCACCAAAATTAATAAAAAGAAGTGTTTTCCCGAGAAATTTTGGTGCAGTCGATTTTTGGTAAAAAAGGAAGGTTATACACTGCCTTTTTTTGAGCCCGAAAAAAAAATTGTCTCAGATCGACCCGGAAAAAAATTTTCTTATAGAATGTGGCCTGTAGAATCCATAATTTCAAACAGTTCCAAGATTGGGCTACTAGTTCAAAACTTACAGCCCTTTGAATTTTCTTTCGAAATTGGTTTCTAGTCAGGGGCGGGCCAGGTGGAATTGCATAGGTTACGGGCCATTAAAGTATTAGTGTAGTAATGAAGGTGGCGGGGGTAGCTCTGCGGTGCACCACAAAAACATTTTTTTGCTTCATTGTAGTACTTTTTTCGGAAATCAATTACAATACAGTTTTTTTTAAATTGCAGCTCATAATCATAATTAAAAGTAACAAAATATACAATCCAAACGAGGCGCGTCGCCTATCATTGTATTTCAGCACTTTCATGCTACGACAAAAAATGATAAATTCATTGTAAAACACTTCAATTAAAACAGAATTTTTTAATTTTTTATAAAAAATACAAGAAGATTGCTAAGGGAACCTTTCCGATTTCAAGCTCCGGTGACCCTATAGGTGTACCTATAGTTGACCCGAAAAATTAGTTTCAAACGTGGTAATAATGATCTTAAATGCTACGTTATTCGTAAGAATGAATTGACTATTGAATACGATTACGTCTTGCGGAAAGACAGGCTAGTATTCTTATAAATCCATTACATTTAACCCATATGGCCATGGGAGTAGCATGGCGAAATCGTACTTCCGGTGGTCAAATCTTGACAAAGACAATACTGCCAAATTTTCTCAATCCTGCTTGTTACATAAAAAATGACCTTCAGGCTTTAAGACCAACATACTGTTTAAATTCTCCTTGAGAGAGATTAATTACTTTTTGATTTTATGGACCAATCGACAAAATTTTTTTCATAAACCTAGATGCTCATAGTAAAATGGATCCAATGACTACAATAACAAGTAGTTCAACAATTTAAGAACCGCGTCTCAAGTTTGCAAGGTATAGCCTTTCTAAATTGTTAGCTTGAAACTATTTTTAAATAAAAATGGAATAAAATTTATTACATTAATACATTTACTAACCAACGCACACGAGGGGTATTTCTCACATTCCTATTTAAGTAGGTAGGTAATGTGTTGCGAAATTGGTTTAGTTTAGTTAGCCAAACGAGGCTGTAACGGTCCCTCTAGGCAGTGCACCCATACTATAAGGGTAGAAATGTAAAGCGATTATCGTGTAGCAAACAAACCAGTGTGTATTCAGTGATTAGTTTTCAAGTTCGTAATAATTGTGCGTAAAGTTCCGCAAATTGATCAAATTTGGAAATGTCATTGTAATCAGGCACTGAAAAATAAGCCAATTTATCGAGACCCCATCCACAACTATACCAATTTAACGAATTATGTAATTAGTGACAGTGATATAGCGTACAGCGAGAAGGTGAGAAAAGGTAATTAAAATCAGGGGACAGTACAGATTATGTTATAAATTTAAGCACAGCGCTACAGTATCCTTTGGTCTCAATTATCACATTTGTCGATGCTATATGCAGGCTACCAATATTCAGCAGCCATGCAGAAAGTGTCACACGCAGGTACTCGCTTACGGACATTGCTGCACCAACACGAGTCTATGAAAAATAGTTAAAAACGTGACAGAAGCGGTCGTAAAATAAGAAAGAAAGGCGCATGTAAAACGTATAGTTACGCGATGGTCAGAGAGATAAAGGAACAATGCGAAGGTAAGGCAAAAATGGGAAAAAAGCCGTATATAAGAGGCACGACTCAAAATGAGCATTTGAAAAAGATAATTGCAAAAGTGGCCAAATGCTGCAGCAGTACCCAGACACAAAGACACCTACAAGAATGCGAAGTACAGCTAACGTAACAAAGATTGTAATGGATAAACTAAAAATGCCCATGCTCCTACTGTTACTACAATGAAGATTTACAGTTTATATGGACCTCAGGTTAGCGGAAATATGGGTATCAGTATCAGAAGGTAGATCATAGTCAATTTAGTACTCTTTGCAGAAAAATAATCATTCGATTTTCCTAGTTATTGCGCGGCATAACCATAAAGTTTTCTTTTGTATACAATGGGTAGGTAGATAATTTGTACGCACCGTAGGTATATTGTTCCTTGTCCGTATAGTTTTCCTCAGATGTACGTAGCTTTGAATAATGCTAGCATTATGCATAAATCTACGAGGCGAATATTGGATCAGTACTCTTCCCTCTCAGCGTCCTCAGTTCTTTCCTTCCATTCCCATCCCTAACTTTACCTCTTTATATTTCCGTTTTCCGGAGGAAGAGGCTCTGCCAACTAGCCTGAACAGCCAGCTTACAGCGCATCGTCCCTGTAGTCAAGAGTATCAGAGGAATGAAACATATTGACATTTTTCCCTTTTTTTCAATGGGTGAGACAGTATAATGTGTATTATCCGTTTGAACGAATATCAACAACAGAGTTCCTTTTCTGGAAAATTACTGTGAAAAGCAGACTATTCCATGAAATCAGAGGCCGGCAGAGCCAGCTATTCACCAGAAAAAGAATGATTAGTAGGTAAACGCCACTCCATGGTTGTGTAAGAGGTGCCAGATTCCTTACATGCTTGTGATAATTCTCTTTTTCATAATTGATGTGGGTACTGGTAATAACATGGATCTTGCAGCTCACAGATTTGTTGTACCTAATTAATCGAATGATCATGATCATATGAACAAAAAATGTTGTTGAAAGGGGATTAAACAAAAGTAAATAATTAGATAAGCTATTTAAAGAAACCCATAATTCATCCAGGCCTTACAACGTTTCTAGCTCTCTCTTCATTGACATTATAAATCTATTCCATGGCCAATAAGGTCCACATTGTTCAGCGATATGACTCCATTGCTTACTGAATGTATGAATCAATAAATAGTCTCAATGGCCTTTGATTTCAACAAGTAGGCACCACTCACCACACGACAAAAACATGACTTTATTGCTCAGAACTGCTGTTCTAAGATATAAAAGTTACCCAATATAATTGAATTGAAAAAAGTACTTCAAATCATCTGTTACAGTTGTGAAGTGTTTCAACTATGAGATTAGATTCATAATATCACTCGATGACCTTGCACAAATGCGTTATATATTGTGAGTGAGTGAGGTCCATGACCTTCGTTTCCACACAGTAGATTTAAACCCATTTCCCATAGCCTGCTCTGAAGTTGCAAGGGTCTCTTGAAACTGATACTAACATTAAAGTTATGCAACAAACAACTAATCTTGTAGGTAGTAGTTCGCAATAAGGCATATGTGTGAGTAAATTTAGAAATGTAGATAATTATACACACTGGATGCCTTTCAATAAAAAACAAGGTTACCAAAGTTCACAGACATCAACCACTTGATTCCATGCTATGTTTAGGGACTGTGTAGACAATAGGCGACTCATCACATTATTTAAAAAGAACTCCGCTATAACACCTGGTTAATGTGAAAAAGAAAAGTAGGTATTCCTGTTGTACAAATGCCCAGATTCTAAAACTTGCTGTTTATTCAACAACAAAACAGTTTGTTAAAAAAAACGTGGTTAAAAATGTACAACTATTTACAAAACATAAACGAATGTTAATTTACCTACAATTATGGAATGTGTATATGTTTATATTAAATTTATATTTTATATTAAACTAATTATTACATATATACCAACTCGAAACATTTTAGTTTTTACACGCTGGATTTATCAAAATTAGTATTGGTCCCAACTGAAAAAAATGTGGAACCAAGTTAGCACATTCAGATCATGGAAGTATCCTTCAACATCCTCTACTTTACAACTATAAAAGTTAGAAATTTTGTTAGTCAAAGACACATACAACAATTATAAACATCTGCATCATTAGAAATTTTGTATAATATATTACTTATAAGAACAGCCAGTTTCGCTGTAAATATTTTTCAGATAAAGTAGGTACTTGTAAAATCGTTTACCATGTTAATGTGATCACTAGTGGCCCACTAATTGACTACCAATAAATTAAACAATTATTTTTGTGTGTAGATATTAAAGTCGGTGTACACCTCTCTGGAAATAATAGATCTTTATTTCGATTTAATAAAATGACTAACAACATTTGGACAAATATCAAACGCAATTCGCAACCAACCAGATGTGTGTACACCGCCTTAAATAAAGGAATTTGGTAGCATTTGTTGCCGCTACACTTTAACATAGACACCCTGTGTGTATTGTACCTATAACAACTATAAAATTGTCAATCAACTATGTCTACTTTGTTGATTTAATGTCGGTTAAGGCACGATGAGAGCTTCGTAGAGGAAGAGGAGAAGACGGTACTTTTGGACTAAGTGAAGTTGATTTATTACGCTTTAATTTGGAACCATGAGGTGCACTATGCAAGTTCCTTTCATGCGCATATAATAGCACCCCAATATGCCTATATCCTGCTTCCATTGCTATCTTTAATGCGGTACTTCCATCCTAAATTAGGTATGTTTAGATAATCCTTGAACATAGTCACATAAATTACGTACCACATCTATTATGGTTGAATCACAGTCGGGTTGGCTTAAAAAGTGTTTGACAATGTCAATGTGGCCATGTTCAGAGGCACACATAAGCGCAGTGCTGCCATCTTCGTCTTGAATATTAATATCTGCACCTGCTTCTAAAAGCATTTGGACCATATCCAAACGACCATGACTTACAGCCAACATTAGAGCAGTTTGTCCATGCTATGCATGCGATTAAATACTTTCCAAAATTCTATTATGAAAACTTACTTGTTTTGCCCTGATGTTTACATCTGCCAATTGAAATAGTCTTCGAACTACATTGGCATGTGTTGGTGAACACATTTCCGCCAGTGAAACCAACATAACACTGGTGTACCCTGCCGTGTTTAGTTGATTGATGTCACAAACCTTTGAATCTAATAAAATGGACACAACATCAAAATTTCCATGAGAAACAGCATAGTGCATTGCAGTATTGCCCTGCAAATCAAGTTTAAACACAGAAGAATACCAAAAACGTTATACTTACACTAACATCTACCATATTAACAACGTAATGTAACAAATCTGAAGAAATATCTTCAAAACAGTCTAAGTAATCTTCAACATCTAATGGATCTGCATTAATTAAACTTGAAATTTTGAACCATTCCTGTTGAATGATGTTGATGGCGTTTTTAAGTTGATTTTTCAAATTTTTTGTTTGACCTTTTTGTAAAGAATCATTTAGTACTTTTAATGCAGCTTGCATTTCTTTACTTGGTTTCACTCTGAAAATTATGAATTAATTAACAATGTCCCCTCAGGGAAGGTACACTTACTTTTTTCTATGTCCTTGAGCATTAGATTGACACAAATCACTTTCTGGCAGTGAGGTTGACTCTTGTTCAGTTTTAAAGGTTGCATCTACACCATTCTGGGACGTTGATGAGGATATTTTGCTTAACTTATAGCTTTGTTTTACTTTTTCTAAGGGACTAGGCGGATCGTTGTCATGTTTTGGACTTAAGTCCAGACCAGAGAGCCTGTAAGATAATTACACGCCAATTAGACGCCTTTCACAATACCTACATATAAAGCACCACAGCTAATTTAAGAAGTATAGGTACCTTGTTAAAAGAATGTGCTGATGCATATAAGTTTGACCATTTTGAGTGAATATGTCTTTAAATCTCAACATTCGGGAGAATGCAACAATTACTTCATTGTTTTAAAACTACGCTCCATTATTCTCTCCTTAAACCATTAGATTTGATTTTCATTTTGTTACGTCAATATCTTGCGCGCTCGATGTGCGCATGCACCAGTAATATCCTACCAGCCAATGTCGTAGAGTAGCAATTAAAATGATTTGTTCAATTTTGTTTTTGAAAGGGGAAGCGCGGGTGGCATAAATACATTATTTCGATTAAGAAGAACATTACATATACTTATGATATGCGTATAGAATTCAAAATTAGTAAATTCTACATTTCTCAAAAGCACTATACACGCGATGGTTGAAGAATATGTATTCCTTAAGGTGTGCCGAAAATAATAAATAACAAAACATTTCAAAAGCAGATGTATTTAACTATTAAAATAAAAAATGTATCATACCCAGACGCTTCATTAGCAGACGCTGGAATTTTGGTGTATGTATCCTGTCTTCTGAACTTTCTACTTTCAACGGGTGTAGTAGGTATTTGAGGTCGTGGAATTTTAGACGGCATGGCATTCTCTTCTTTCTTGGGCGAATCATCTTTTTCTTTCCGTTGACATTTTGAACAGAATGAGTCGTCTAGTGAAACATATTTGGTATTGCAACCTATTTCGCTTGTATCCTTTGTTATTTGTTTTGTGTTACAACCCACATGCCTAATTTCGTTTCTTAAATCTTTGGTGTCTGTAAATTTAGTCAGTGAAAAGCTCTCATATTGCATCGCCTTATGATAAACTTTAATAATTTCATTTTGGCATGCTTTTGATTGGGTTTTCGATTCGTGCTGACAAGCCTTATGGAGATTGGACGGTTCATATTGACAGGCAACTGTTCGATTGCGTGGTGTCAAATTTAATCTGTCTTCGCCTAAATTAAATGACTTGCTGCGAGGTACTGCGAGCGATGCTAAGGAAATGGATGAACCGTCGGTGTTCAAACCTTCTTGAGCATGTGATAATTTATTTTTCTCCTGCACACACTTGCTACACGTATCTTCATCCAGAGTGTGATCTGATACACCCACGGTAGCTGTTTTTACATATGCTTCACTACTGGCGTCCGCTGTTACAACCGTTGCTAAGAGACCGATGGTATTAAAGCTTTTTTTATGTTCCGCGGTTTGTGTATAACTGTGTGCGGTTTGCACTTTTGGTTCGATTATGGTTTGACTGCTGGCTTCGTAGCATTGTCTACTGGGCTGTGTTTGTGTAGTTTTAGCGCATAGAATTGGAGATGATTTGAATTCGTTTATATTCGAGTTTGGGAAGAATGGTACTTGATTGTCTGTCGTTAAAAATCTAATTTTCTCTTTATACCATTTGTCTGAGTAACCACTATTAGCATCACCATTAACAGTCGTAGTCGAGACTGATTTTGTTTTTGGATTTTGATGTCCAACACCTACGTTTCTTGTTAGCACTGAACACATTACGCCAAAATCTCTACGTGGGATGGGTGGAGGTTGTCTCTCTTTTTTATGAATGCTCTCGACACTAGCCGAATGTGTTAAGGAATTCGATCGTAACCTTACATGTGGCAATGTGACCGTGTTATTTATGTATTTTCTATTTACCGCATTCATTTCGGTTCTGAGTTGAAGTAGTAGTTGTCGTTTTTCTTCTTTTAATACTGATAATTGTGCCTGCCAAAGAAACAAGACTGCCATTATAGATATAAGTTTATGAAGCATATAGTTTCTCACGATGTAGCATTTGTCTTGAAAATGAACATAATGTAATAAATTTGCCGACGAGGCTTTAACGGAAAGTACCAATCAATGTTATTATACTCAGTTGTGGGGAAATAGGAAACCACCACAACTAAGGTGAACAATGTGAAAGTTAAGAAACAGCGTAATTACGATTGTAATATGTATATGCATACCAAATTTAAATACATCACAAATGACTGGGATTCAATAACCTTTGTCTAAATCTGTAAGGTAAAATATAAGTAACCCCTATAATGGGTTAGATCAGAGCTGGCCAAACCGTCGATCGCGATCTACCGGTCGATCGCGGCGATCTTGCGAGTCGATCATCTCATCAGCTTACGCTTAACTTAAAACGAGTGCGCCCAAGCGACCAAAACCCTACTAGTTTTATAAAGAGTAGGTAGAAGACTTTTTTTACCACCCACACGTTAGTAAGTACCTATTGCATTGGGGTAAAAAGTGACCCCCCACTTTTTTGACGGAAACACACGTTTTGGGGCACCAGGAATCCGAATCAAACAAAATCTCGATAATGTTGGTCTGTCTGTGTCGGTCCGTCTGTACTCTCATTTCCGGCTAAACGGCTGAACCGATTGGGACCAAATTTGGTACACTTATTCTTAGATATAAAAGGGCAGAACCGCGAATACGCAGCTGTGCGGGTGGTATAGCAAATTTTTTACAATGTTTAAGGATACATTGGTGTGCTTCTTCTTCTTCTTCCTTTTCCAGATTTTGTTTGATTCGCATTGCTGGTGCTTCAAAGCGAGTATTTCCATCAAAACAGTGGGGAAGGGGGCATTTTTAACCCCAATGCACTATATCCCTTTACTAATGTGCGGGTGGTAAAAAGGTAGGTAATCTGAAGAGACATTTTTTGGGTGTACATAAAAAATATGCAACTTTCCATCACAATCAGAAATAAGTGCCCACCAACATCAGAAATACGACAGACTAAAGTAAAATGAAAACTCAATTACACATCATCCTAACAAAAACCTTTTTTCATAGTAGAAGTAGCTGGTAGATCGCGAAGGATCTTACTTGTGCAGAGTAGATCAAACGATACAAAGGTTTGGGCACCTCTGGGTTAGATATTCTAACCGATTGTCATATTAAAATACAACATTGTTGTAAGCAAAGAAAAATGTGAACGCAGCTTTCTATTATTGTTTTTGCATTTCTAAAAAAATTGGGAAATGTAAATAATTATAATTCTCAACGCATATGAGATGAGTGAAAAGTTTGAAGTTGGGAAGTGGACGCCAATAGTTCAAAATAAATGCCTTGTGCATCATGGTAATTGAAAATCGAGCTGAAAATCTTCGATTACGATAAAAAATCGATCAACCTAAGGAAAATAAAGACATTATTTATGTGTCCATACCTTCGCCTATTAATTTTTTGCATGCTCTCGAGAATTATTTGTTACGGATTACAGTTTTCCGTGCCATGTTTTGAATCGAGAGCCATCAAAAGTCATTTTGTTTTATTATTTTCTACGAAGAGGAGAGACGAATTGTTTTAATACTGGGACTAACACTATCGTTTCAGTTAACAAGCATTTGTTCCATTGTGCGGATGATCGAAGATAAAACGCCAAAGTTAATAAAAGTGGTATAAAGTGCCGAGACTAAAAGAAGGGGTACGTAACTCGGAAAGAACACTTAAAGCGAAATAAAATACAATAAAATTTCATTAGAGGTTCTTCTTCAAGTACAGTTAGGCATGCGAAACGAATCACTTTAAACGCACCTGCAATGATGGAATAAGTTTAACTCTTTCTTCGAGTTCTTTTGTACGTTCCAGACTTAATGCCATTTGTTCCCTTATATTTTGAAGGGCTGCAGGACTAAGACCGTACGACTCAACACTTATTGTATCATATTCTCGTGGTCCATTAGCTGCGTCTGCAACGGATGGAAGGACTGTCATGCTGGATCCCGACGCCGATGACATGGATGACAGCGAGGGTGCTCTGTGAAGTGTTTCTAAAATATAAAAAAAAATGTCTGTTACTGCATTAATTCATCCACTGGAAACTACTGTAATCAGTTAGCTTGATAAGGATAACGTATTGATAGATAAGGCACTTATTAAGCCTTAAAAACCGCACAAACACTAGATTAAAATAACAACATTCACCTGCTTCTAATTGGTAAAGTTTAAAAGAACAATAATGAAGCTACAAGAGGAGATACGCAGGCGTATTTTATAGAAATAATGGGTAACTGTTTAACGTTAGCTTGGATGCGTAACGATTTCAACGTTACATAAATTTACTGTAGCAATATCGGAAAACCTTTCTCTGCATAAAATAAATTCGCAAATTGACTAACCAAAGAAACAATTAACACTCGAAACTGGCACTAAACGTGTTATCACAATGGGACTGTTCTATACAATAAAAATCGGCTACGGTAAAGGCAGGAAATTGCAAATTATACCGACTCTATAGTTACACAAATTCAAACTTCCAAATATTTTCCTCAAAATTTCGGGATGTTAGTGCTGGAGAACATAATTAAATACTGCATTTATACCATTCTATTTGTACTAAACCATTAGATTAGTCAAGTAACGAGTCCATAAAAAGTCCAATTAAAAGCTAATTAACGGTCATAGGTAAATAAACTAACGACGGTTTTATCCACAAAAATAATCCGCTAATTACAACTAGAAATGTAAATCAAATTACCAAAGGTCTACAAGTCCTATCGTTCCATTTACCAACTTAAAATAAATGAATGAGTGAGTTTTTGAGTTGTGCGCCAATGTATATCTGGCGGCAACAAAGTTAATGTCCCAGCCGTTTTACAGCAAAATGTATTATAGGCCACAGAAACGGCTTGGAATTGCATCACGATTATAAAAGGCACTATTCTACAAACGGATTATAATGCACTTACCATGAACAGCTGTAACATCGGGAAGATTGCTGGATAGTTTTTTTCCTTTAGATCGCTGCAATGTTCGTTCGAAATCTGATACAACCTCATACAGATCATCTTGTATCAAAGACGACTTATTGGTATTCGAGTGGGGTAGTTCTTCTTCGATTGCCTAAACTAAAGCATTTAAACTAACGTTTTAATCTTGGCGAGGTACCTTCTGATGAATTTTTTCCAAAGTATGTATAACAGGAGGCTCCAGTCCCAGCAAGACCTCCATCGACTGTCGCTGTCGGCGACGGTCGCGACGTCTTTTGACCGAACCCGTTCGATCAGCTTGCTGCCCAATGGATTCGCAGTAGCGTACAAAATCTAGATCTATGTGATACCCGTAAGGGCAACAGTTGCATTGTTGGTACCATGTATAACCTAAGAAGCAAATTTTCCCTAATTTCATTGTTAATCGGACGAAGTGAACTTACCAACATTATCAGTCTGTCTTGCAATGGTGGGTAATGGGCCATGGTACTCCATAATCTATAAACAAAAGTAAATTAATTTGATAAACCCTAACGATAGATACCGTTTGGCGTTAGAAGAATTGAATCGCGGTTTTTAAATAACTTCCGAAAATATTGTAGGCAAAAAGTTTGCACAAAATGTTATGATTAGGACGCTCACAAGAAAATTTTTGGATTCTTGGGCTGTGATTAACTTATATACGAGTTGGTGTGTATGGGTATAATAACCTCATTACAACTGCTACAACCTCAATGTCCGAAAAAAGGGAGAAGTAATAAGAGCTCCTAACAAGGCCAAGGTGAAAAGTGTTTGACCGCACAATTAGTACCTATGTTATTTTTAGCTATGTACAAAAGTAAGAAATCGTACCTACTACTTATACACGGGAGAAATTTTAAAGCTATTACATAAAGATCATTAGTATTCAGCACTTAGTGAATAAACGTGTTAATGCAAGTTTATGAGTATCTTAACGTTTAATATATTCGTAGGCGTTCGAAAATGCAGCGTAGGTGACCAGGAGAAATTGCTGGTAGTTGCCCTCTTTCGATATTTAGCAATGTACCACAATTACCGAGATTAGTCAACATCAACCCCAAATAATCCTCAAATATTGGTTACTCATTTGTGAAATAGTCTTCAACTGATCAGAAGGAAGTTATGCAATACATAATTGGTGTCCAACACCCATCAGCATAATTATACAGAATTTTCGTATACGTTATGTCATATTTTTACAGCAAGCGCAGCACATGTAAGAGAAAACCTAATTTTAGTCCCTGTGCATTATTAACAATGCTGGATTTTGGAATGTCCGCCTTGAAAACTACACAACTTTTCTTCACAAAAAAACCATTTCCCAATTATTCCACTTGATAATCTGTCACGTTCTGAATAAATATAATTGCTATGAATCTACATGTCACCATATAATACAAAATAACAGTAGGTTTGTAACAAACTTATAAGTACCAGAAATTGCTGCTTTCTGTAGCCACATTTACCTCCACATGCAGATGACCTCGCGGATGACTGTTGACAAAAAGTGTCTCTTTTCGATTTCCTTCCTTCAATTTTACGTTAATGTGTTCCTTTACTAACGGAAATTACGTGAATAGGGGTAGATCTAATACAAGGGGTAAAATCTTCTTCGAAATAGTGGTTCGAAAGTTGCTGGGTCAAATTACTCTGAATATACTTCTGACACCCGAGGGAAGACAGTTACGTGGGTACAAAGTGGATGGCGAACGTTGCCCCGAATTACTTGTAACAAACGTCATCTGAATATGCCTGCAAATTACGGTCCGCATAGCTTTCGTAAAGTCGTTGAGTGAAAAATTAACGTTATTCAATGGTAAAGTGCTTATTTATTGCTGCAGTGTAGTTTATTTCTCCGCTCATTTGGCAGAATTTTTTCAATGATATTGGGCGCATTGGGAGTGAAATTATGCTGGAACTGCCACAAGTGTGTCAAATGTATTTAGAGACTCGAAATAAGCTATAAACGGGGATGCAGAATTTGTTGCTAACTTCTTGATAACAACTTCTATGTTATTTGGTTAATCAAATCTGGAATTAATTGCTGTGATAAATTGTGTACAAGAGTTGCAATTGTCAGCTATTTACAAGAGTACCATAAATAAATTTATTGTCCTTTTAACATTTATACTAATCTCTTACTGAACTGCAAGTGTGGAATTAATTGCACCATATATAGCTAGCCAGCCACTGGTAAGAGTAAAGTGACTTAAACAAATTTATTGGTGGTATGGTTTCAATGCAAAAGCACCCTCTATATTAATTGCTTACTAAGTTACGAGTATGAAATAGAAACTCTTTTAGGGTGCCACCTACTCGCAAAAGTGTATTAATCAATTTATTGTTGCTATAGATTGAATGCAAAACCACTCCCTACATTAATAAAACATTAGTCGTCTAATATTTTTTTGCTGTAAGAATGTTATTCTAAGGACTTTTCTTAGTTGTCAGTGACTCATTATCATTTCTTTAGTGCTCGATTGTTTTTTGCTTCAACCGCCATGACGAGGAATAACAAAAATGTTTAAAACTGTGTTTCCAATAAACTACTTTATACAAAGTTACGCTTATTTTTGTACTACTTAATAAGCCATAGAACGCATTCTGGGCAACATTACAACCGGAAAGCATTAGCAATATGATGGTGGCCATAACGCGTTGTGGCCAAATTTGTCGGCGATTGGCCGAAATCGACTTTGATATAGTGGTCCAATCTCGAACATTCTCGATGTATTGGATTCTACAGTACAAAATCTATAAGAAAACGTTCTGAGAAGTCCTTCTTTGTGAGGGTTTTAAACCTCAGCACTAAGACCAAGTTCTTTACAATTAAATCCGTTTAAAGAAAAATGCTTTAAACAAATCGGGAAATCTCAGAAAAAAATATGACACATGGCTTAGTAAGCTGTGTTTGTAAATTTTACTCACAACAAAATTTACAACACCCTCAATCGTATATTGTTAGGTAGGTAAAAGCGAATTTCCTTCAAATTACGAATTTCTAAAAAGGGATGGAATTTCACTGATAATTGTAATTGAAGGGTTGCTTAAAGCTAATCTATCAGGGAAATACAAATATTGAACCAGCAACAAAATTTTCTTAAATTTACGAATTTTTAGAACAGAATGAGATTTTGCTTATATTTGGCAATTGGAGGGTTGTTTGTAGATCTCCATAATATAATCAATCAAGGAAATAAAAATATTGGACCCGCAACAAAATTTACAACCCCCTCAATGGTATATTCATATATTGCTACGTAGGTAAATGTGAGTTTTCTTTAAAATTACGAATTGCTAAAACGTGAGGGAATTTACTTATAATTGGCAATTGAAGGGTTGCTTATAGATGACTTAAAGATAATCTAATCTATCATGGAAGTAAAAATATTAGATCCACAACAAAATTTACAACCCCCGCAATCGAATGCTGCTAGGTAGGTAACAGCGAATTTACTTAAAAGATACGGATTTCTTAAATGGGATAGCATTCTACTTATAATTGTCAATTTAAGGGATGCTTGTAGATCCTTTTAATATAATCGATAAAGGGAATAAAGATATTTGGCCCACAACAAAATCTACAACCCCCTCAATTATTGTATATTGTTACGTAGGTAAAAGCGAATATTCTTAAAAATTACTCATTTTTAAAACGGGATGGATTTTACTTACAATTGGAAATTTAAGGGTTGCTTGTAGATCCTTTAATCATAATCGATCAAGGATATGAACATATTTGACCCACAACAAAATTTACAACCCCCGCAATCGAATGCTGCTACGTCGATACGAGCGACTTTTCTTAAAATTTTTTAGACCAGAATGAGATTTTACTTATACTTGGCAATTGAAGGGTTGTTTGTAGATCCCCCTGCCCTAGAAGGCAGTTTCTGGGTTGGTTGTAGATTACTTAAAATAATCTATCAAAAAATTCAAAATATTTACTGTACAACAAAAATTACAACCCCCGCAATCAAGGATTGCTATATTCGAGGATGTTAATATTCTACAATATTACGTAAGTTTCAAACAAAAAGGATATTTATTATTAGAGGAAACTTTAAGGGTTGGTTGTAGATTTTTTAAACATAATCTATCAAAAAATTCATAATATTTAGGGTACAACAAAAATTACAACCCCCGCAATCAAAGATTCCTATACACGTAGGTGTGAATTCTCTCAAAAACTACGTCAGTTTAAAACGAGAAGGAAATTTATTGTTAGAGGGCAGTTTCAGGGTTGGTTATAGGTTACTTAAAAATAATCTATCAAAAAATTTAAAATATTTGGTGTACAACAAAAATTACAATCCCCGCAATCGAGGATTGCTATATACGTAGGTGTTAATGTTCTAGAATAATACGTAAGTTTTGAACAAAAAGGAAATTTATTGTTAAAGGGCACTTTAAGGGTTGGTTGTAGATTAGTTAAAAATAATCTATCAAAAAGTTCCAAATATTTAGGGTACAACAAAAATTACAACCCCCGCAATCGAGGATTGCTGTATATTAAGTATGTGGTAATGTTCTACAATATTACATAAGTTTCGAACAAAGAGGAAATTTATTTTTAAAGGGCACTTTAAGGGGTGGTTGCAGATTACTTAAACATAATCTATCAAAAAATTCATAATATTTAGTGTACAACCCCCGCAATCGAATAAGGAAAAAGCGAATTTTTTTAAAAATACGTATTTTTAAAACGGGTTTGACAGCGAATTTACTTAAAAGATACGGATTTCGAAAATGGGATAGCATTTTACTTATAATTGTCAATTTAAGGGATGCTTTGTAGATCCCTTTAATATAATCGGTCAACGAAGTGAAAATATTTTGCCCACAACAAAAAGTACAACCCCCGCAAAGGAATACTGCTACGTAGGTGATACTCGAGGTGGTAGGTAAGAGCGAATTTTCTTAAAAATTATGGATTTTTAACACGGGATGGAAGTTTACTTATAATTAGCAATTTAAGGGTTGCTTGGAGATCTTTTAATCATAATCGATCAACGAAATAAAAATATTTGACGTACCGCAAAATTTAGAACCTCCGCAATCGAATTTTCTTAAACATGACGGATTTTTAGAACAGAATGAGCATTTACTTATACTTGGCAATTGGAGGGTTGCTTGTAAATCCTTTAATCATAATCGAGCAAGAAAATGTACATACTTGACCCACATCAAAATTTACAATTCCCACAATCGAATACTGCTCCGTAAGAGCGTTTCTTAAAAATTACACATTTCTAAAACGAGATAGGAGTTTACCTATAATTGGCAATTGCTTGTATAACCTTTTAATATAATCGATCAAGTGAGTATAAATATTTGATTTATGTACAGTAGATTTCTAAACACACCATCCTAATAACATAAGCTTAAACAGGGGGTCACACATACTTGTGTAAAAAATGGGGTAGTAAATGGTCATAATATCATGTTTTTTATTAAATAAGTTGAGCTAAGGTTTAGGGTATATACACATTCCGATTTTTCAAAAATCTTTTCAGAGAACAGTAATCTCGACAGTAATTAATAGTAAAAAAACTAGCACGAGTTGGTTAACTTATTTGTTACTTGGAGGAGACCGACGAGATGACCAAAGGAAACATTTTTTCAAAATAAACTAAAGCTTCAAAAGATTCTTTTGGGAATAATAATTCTAAATTACACTTCTTTAATTTTCCTCTATGTAACCATAAGGCGTAGAACGATGGGACAAGTCTTGCTTAGGTGTGTTCTTTCCAAAATTCGTCCTAAATTCTTGCACCAAGCTGGTACTCGTCTAATCGTGGACCTTACCAGAAAATTCCGATCTCGAATAAATTTGGTATATACGGAGATCAACGGAAAAATTCGCATAACTTATCTGCAAAGGACACATTTTTAAAGTGGGATTCCAGTAATTTTAGTGCCATAACTTCACGTTGGTCATTTATAATATAATATAAGTAAATACATTATTCAAGACTACATAGGTTGCAGCAACTTACAGCACGTAGCACTTCGGGTTAACCTTGACCATGGTAACTACAGTTACCCCAGCAGTCCAATCGCGGTTTTCCATTATTCATTTTGCAAGTAGTAACTTGTATTATATATCACAAGCACAACCTTTGATTCAAAAACGTGAACTGAACAGGTCAAATGTAACCTGTAACTGTACTAAACTTAAAAATATGTGTAACAACCTTGTAACGCACTGAACAGTTAATTGAAACCACGTTTATTCTGTTTTCGCACTTGACTGCTATAACTATTTAGCACATGCAAATTGCCCTCCATTAATGAGAAATGAAAACTAGACAAAGGAGACTGACCACTTAAAATAATTAGCCTTAATACTATGGAAGACGGGAAATTATCATTTAACTTAGGTTATCAATCAGCTCGACAAAAAAATTGGTTTCAGAGTTCAAAGAACCACCACTGGGTTTCATAATACAGATTGCAATTTTTCAGTGCAGAAATAGTGCTTGCGTATGTATTAGAAAATGAAATTACATGTTATTAGAAACGTTTATTGCATAAATGAAACATTGCTTTTCAAGGTTTTGCTACTGATAAACTAATGATATCGAATAATTCCGTAATTAACAATTACCCAATTATAAATGAAATATGTACGTACTCAAAATAAGAAGTCTTTCCATATACCTCAAACTTGGGCAACAATATTTGTTCTTTGGTGGCAATGAATCGCTCCAACTTGCGTCATAATGTGCAAATTAGGTTCAATTGCAAACAAACTTTACAGATACGGGTATGGCAAATCACTTCTGGGCCGTTGTCCTTGGCAAACAGAAGTACCACGTGAGGTTTAAAAAACCACTCATTTGGGGTAGCCTGCGCGTATATAATAAACAATGGTCATTATTTCTCGACACTACACATTAAACAGATTGTACCCACCAACCCACATTTCAGAAGTTTATCAATAAAAATATTATCTGTTATCTGAATGATAAACTCTATGATAGAGAGTAAAAAAATAAGCAAATATTTATTTTTTCCATACACGAAATCGGAAAGCTTTTTTGTTACCAGTTGTAAGTCATTTATGTAGGGCTGCTATTTTTATCAAAATTAACGAAGAACATATTCCTGTAATGACGAGACCAAAACTAAATTGGTGCATTCAATTATCATGTCAATGGCGAGATAAAAATAGCTAGCGATTAATTGACCGTCATAAAATTCATATACACAGGATCGCCTGACGGTCTTCTAATGAGAATACAAGTAGTACAATCACTTCAAAGGTACCAACAGTAAAAGGGGAGCCGTAAATAGTACTTCACTCACCATTTAATCATAGATGTATATTTAGATGACGGTTTAACTTGCAAGCATTTCTAAAAATATTTAAAATAAGAAAACTACCTCCGCCTTTCTACCTGACTAAGCTTATGTAATTAGAAGAAAACACACAGAACTGTACACCTGCTAACGAAAGCATTCTTTCAACGTGTGGCTTTATAATTGTAATGGTTTGCGTACTGGGTTTCATTTGCATTGCAATTTCAGTAGCCCACAATGCAATTATAGCGGCAGCTTTTGGTGCCGAACTAACAACTACCACTCAACCAGTACGACCTCATGATTTTACGTAGGTACATGAACATGAATGCTATACAAGTTTTCGAGCTGGGCTTTAAAATTAAAAAAAAATCGTTAAGCCGCTTGTGAGCAAGAGGCGAAGAGTGGACATTTGTTTTTTCGATTTTAATAGCCCTTATGGACATTTCATGCCTTAATGTTAGCGAGAATACAAACATGAAATAATTTTTAATTTCTGATCGAATGACACCAATAAAAAGTCTGTAAGTGGTGTAGTTCCGGAGCCTTTGTGACTTACGACAGACAGACATAAGGAGCGCAAAAGTGCACTTTTTATTTTTGGAAAGTGAAAGTGCACTAAATACATCAATATCTTTTATATATTTTTAGCGCTAAATGTGTAACGAAAAAGTCAAATGTAGCATCCTGTATAACGACGAATAAGTAGCTACATGAAACCAGTCATGAGGGACCACAACGCCCAACTTCCAATTACGACCACAACCCCCAACGTAATGCTAGGTTTCACGCCGAACCTGACCACAAACCCAATTTGACTACAACAAGAGATTGTTCGCTTAGCCTTGTTGATGAGACTTTAATACCTTATTTCTGGGTATTGGCATTTTTGTTCCACTTTTGCAAAGATATCATTGACTTTTGTAAGTACAACAGACACCGTAGTCCAGTATCTTTACTTGAACCAGATCTAAGCCTAAACATCACATAAAAGGATTTCATATAACTAATAAAACAACCAGCGGAAAGATCAACTTTTATAAAATTTATTGAATCGCAATGCAATTTTATTTTTTTTTCAAGTCACGCGTACCGATTTAATAAGATGCGAAAATGACGCTTTAACCATTAGAAGTTTTATAAGAATTTCCAAAGAGTAAAGAAATTATGGAAAAAATTACCAGATTTTAAAAATTCGGAAGTAAGTAAGCATTTGTTACAATATACTTAAGTACACAATGCTGTCCCTAGATCTCATTTTATTTTTTATCCTAAAATTCTATCCCTTGGTTTGAGGTATTCCTATCTCGTATCGGGAACGTCCCTTAGTTCTGAGAAATAATGAAGAAAATATGTACAAAGATCGCATCCAGTGTTCTTAATACTATGTTTTGGTTTACTTTCGTACGAAATGGGAAAAACCCAAAATTTGTTTTTTTAGTATAAAGCAGGATGAAAGTCGTAACCTCGGTCGTAACAGTTCCAAGTTAGACCTGTCCGCTCATATTTTTGCCGTCTTTCGATTAATTTTCGTTAGCACGTTGCTATTTTATTGAAGCTTAAAAGTTATTCAGCGACAGAGCAAAAAAAGCATTACAGGAGAGTCGATGGTGTCGTCTTTCCGCCCGTGAACACGACAACTGCCAAACGCTTTGGCAGATTTGGTTCAAACTTTGTACAGTTGACACCACATGGAACAAGCCTATTGAAAATGGATCAAATTCAATAACCTCGTACTCGTAGGGGTTTATTTTATAATGTAACAAGCCTATTGAAAATGGGTCAAATTCAATAACCTCGTAGGGGTTTATTTTATCATGGTCCGTGAGAAATAAAAAGGTTGAAGTCTTTAAATAATAGCAACGTACTAATAAAAACTTTAACCGGTGTTAACGTAGTCACGGAATACAAAAAAGCACTTCAAAACTCTGTAGTAGAAAAAATGTCGAGTTGCTATTATATCAAAAACTAGATGTAAATTGAATGGAGTAAAACAATTTTTCAATTTAAAACGTGTTTTTCTCCGCAACTTTTTATATCACATCTATGTACAATTTATAATTTAACGGTAACTATTTAGTATTTCCTATACACTTTTTAATGTAAAACTTCCAGCTCTGCCTGAGGATGACTTATAGTCGAAATCGATCGCCGTCAGAAATAATAAAAAAACTGTTTGAGTCGCATTTTACTTCATTTTTCTATTAAACATTCACTCAAACAATATGGAGTCCTTCTTCATCAAAACCTTCTACTTAATTTGACGACTCTATTTAAGTTGAGTAAACACTTCCAAACTATCCAAATCAACGGACTCCTTTATTACTGTCTATTACTGTCGACGCATGGAACACAAATTGTGTGATTTAATCTAAAAATTGGAGTTATGGTCCAGTTGGGCGTTGTTGTACTCGAGGTCGTACTTACTTAAAAGTTGAGAGTTCTGGTCAGATTCGGCGTGAAGCCTATCATAAAGTTGGGGGTTGCGTTCAGAGGTGGAAGTTGGACGTTTTGGTCATTAGGTGTTAGGTGGTCAAACCCCCATGAGCAGTACTAAACAAATTTTTGGATGCTATCCTTTATAACTACGTATTTAATTTTCATTAATTTGGGATCGATCGAAAATGTAATAGGCACTTATACTTATTGTTAACTGTGTAAAAAAATTGTAACAATTCTGCAACAAAAGAAAAGGAGCGCAATTTTACCCTCTGATTTAAATGTTGTGCTTAATTAAATGATCAAATTTCGTGCTTTACATCCTACGCGATAGTTTCTACTTCTACGGTACGAATTCGAAAAATCGTAGGGAACTATTGGCACGTACACCAACACAACACGACGCAGTTCTCTTACCATGTAAGCATTTTAACAGGTAAGGATGGAACCACAGGATTCCTGGGAAAACTGAGTTTATGGTCACTTTAAAAAAAATATATACGAATCTTTTCCTTGTGAAGATTGCCGAACAAACTGCAATGGACCAATCGTTGGTAGAAAGCTCTCACATTCCTTGCATGATTCAGAGCTCGCACAATTTGCAAGATAAACTAGCAAGTTATTTTCCAGAACAATTAATTGACGTCTTCTAAATGAAAAAAAAAACCAGGAATCTCCAGAGTGGGCAAAGGAACCTTTAAAATTATTAGTTCCATTCGCCACTTCCTACCTATGCGAACTAACGTTCTCTTTAATGTTGAACATAAAAACTAAGGAAAGAAATAGATAGTCTCCACTTAGAAAGTGATTTGATCGGTTACGTATCAAAAGTAGAACCACGTTTCAACAAATTATTGAAAAATAAAGAATAAATTGTAGTTTTTCATTGTAGTAGTATAGTATTTAGGTACTAACAATTGCATTTGTATTTTACTTGCAACTCCCCGAGTAGAGTTTAGCGACCCCCAGGTTGAAAAACACTGCTTTAACACAACTTCGATGACCAGGTCATAACATGTGATGAATTCTTCTTGATCGTGTCCCTAAATGTTCCTCACTTCTTCCTAACCTATTCTATTAATTAATAATAAAAGAGTTATATTTTATCAGTTATAGTTCATGTACGTGGATATAATACTCGTATAAGATGCTTGAAATAAAATTAAATCATTTTTGCCTATCTATGCCGCGTTTAAATTTGACTTGAAAATTGTAACATATTCATCTTGATAGATCTCAAGTTAGCTTATTTACTACGCTGCCCACGCCCTGCGTAATGCAAGAAAAAGTACAAACACATGGACGAATAAATGATGTACATTCAATTTTGGCTAGTGATGAGTAGGTAATATTATCTACAGTAAAAATAAAAAGGATTAACGGACTCATTCAAAACATTAACACTAAGAAGTGCTTGAAACACATGTTTTTGCCTACTGTTGTCTTCCCAGCTTCAAAGAATAGCCAGTGACGAAACAATAATGTGAAAAACCTCAATGTAATAATGGCATTTCAAAATGTCGGAAAGAATATAATAGAAAAGTTGATGATTTTCAAAATTTACCGTATACATTTGGCTCCAAACATTCAGTAGGGTGTGTTAGTTTGTAATTCAATCACGTTGGTGCAAGGTTAAAAGTGGTATTTAAAATTGACAAATCGGTTTAACCTTTTTCAATTATCATTCAATGGTCAGGCTTGGCTTTCGCATAATATAAAGTGTAAACATCAATGCACGCATCTCTCCCATTGTCAAAATGTTGTGAAATCGCTATTCGACGATAATTCACCTCGTAATTTACTCAATCACCAAGGAAAGGCGTTGGCCACGAGTAAAATATGTTTTAAAAGAAACGAATGGCACTTATTTTCTCAGCAGGCTTGAATGAGGGCTTAAAGTACAAAAGACGAGGCGCAGATATTGACAAAAGTACACAAGTTATTTAGTCTTTCTTTTTAAATTAAAAAAATTGCTATATTTTTCAGTTTTGTCCGCCGCACTCGCTTCTGCGGTTTTGAACTACCTACTTTTAGGAGAATTGCCCTAAAGTCCAGAAATTTTTTTGCAATAAGTAGACTATGACTTGAAGGTGTACCAAACGGCCTTCATATTTGGCACGTATACCTCTAGTAGTGCGAAGTTTTGAAA